TTACGAGGCCTCAACAGCAGCGTCTTTTGTGTCTTATCGAAAGGATGAACGCGTCGTAAATATTCTTATCCGTTGCCCTGGTCGTTTTGAATTTATTACATAACAAAGGCTTTGTTGTTGCCCCGTGCACACATTATGGATTAATGTCTTCTCTCGTTTTATACTTATGAGTTATGCACGAGACTCGCAAAATATTCATGATTATTTATTTATTTTTTCGTACGAATAACATTTTATTAACATTTTATAGTAACAAAAAGACCACAGAGAAAGTTGCTTTGGTATGAAGTGCTCAATATCTATAGTATATAAAATTGCAAAATCGTGCCTAAAGGCCAAACCGAATCGATCTCTACAATTGAAACTCACTATGATTTATATTACCATACTTTTAACTTTCCGAACAAATCCATGCCAATTTGACCCTCGAATATCAAGCATTAATAACAAATAGTTTGGGATTGACGGCACATAAGATTGCCGTAGAGAAGTTTTTGCAGGAATGCGATTCTATGCTGATTACACGAAAGTAAACTTGGCATCAATACATTTTTTAAATATTTATTTAATATTGTGCCTGCCGAATATTCCATGTCATTATACAACAAGGATTTTCTTGGCATATCAAAAAAGCTCGTCTCTTTTGACTCTCAGAATGAAGAAAAGAGCAGATGAAAAGTCAAAAATACAGAGACACGTCTTTGTCGCGCACGAGATGAAAAAAAAAAAAGAATGCAAAATTTAAAATACTGATGACGTACGAGTCAGGTCTGGATTGGATGCCTAAGAAGAGAAAGTGCTTGACAAAAGAAATTGCAGCTGATATATAGCAGACGGCTGTTTTTCGAGAGACGAAGATTTGGCTTCCACGAGTTAATTTTAAATTACTGTCCCGTCGCGCTCAGCGAGATAACGTCTCATCTGACATTAACTCGGCTCCCAAGTTACTTTGTCGTTAGTTAATAAAGTTCTCATTCCTTTCCCAAGAGATTTGAAGATTTTTCCAAGGACTTCCATCGTTTTCTTTCAGCTTCGTGAATTAGTTTGAATTAAAACTAAATCTAATTTGAATTAAAATTAAAAGTCTCCTATTTTCAAATACTATAAGCTTTATCCACTTATAATCAAGGTAGATTATTAATTTTCGAGCTTGCGTGTAGTTGTATAACTTTGTTAGATTGGCCCGATCAAAAGCGATTAAAAAATGACATAGCTTACCACTCGCTCAAATTCTTTGCAAAACTCACTTTGCAAAATAGAATTATAATGTCGTTCATCCGAAGAAAATATGTTCACAAAATCGTTTCCTAGCCATTAATGCTATTTCGACAAATTCAAATGTAATATGCATGCTCGCATCTTGTTCGCGTTTGGATTTACACTGACGTAAAGGAACGCAGAAAAATAAAGCGGATTATTCGTATACTTGAAAGCAATACTGGGCGACCGTTCGCTGGTTTCTCCCGTATACTTGTTTCAATAAATCCCTCATAGAGATTTCTCGTTCTTTTTGTTCTCTGTATGGTACGGGACTTTGTCAGCGATACAATGGGCATCCTTTAAAGGAAAGCAAATATACTGAGTTCGTTAATACGAAGCTTTGAACAAAGAAAAATGCAAACTGTATCGAATCCGAGCAGAGTTTCGATATCGAATGTACGCCGGAAAAACTAATGATAATGCACTGCTTTGATAACGCTTTTTTTCGCTCAGATGATCCTACTTCAAAATTAGTTTTCAACAAAGTCCAATGTGCGACGACGATTGGGAGAAAAAACACAATCAGCTTTATTTCATCGCCGAATAATAGGCATCTATCGCAAGTGGACCAAACGCGTCCATTACACAACCACCCCGACAAAACCGGCCGATTGTATCCTCTTCGATGTATAGCGTACAGTGACGAAAAGGAGCAAAGCTATCGGGTTTTCAATTGGCTATTGGTGGCGCATCACGTTTTGCACTGGGAGGCCCTTTACGAGCGATTTATACGAGAGTTTCCACACGACTCTCTGCCCCGCTTTTGTTCGTCTTCTCTCTCTCTCTCTCTCTCTCTCTCTCTCTCTCTCTCTCTCTCTCTCTCTCTCTTTTTCATTTTGGATCCGGACTCTTTTTCAAAAGTCGAATGGCGTATTATGCCGCGCCAAAGTGACCGGAGAATTCGGGATTACTTCCGCGAAATGTCGCGCAATTGCTGCAATCGAAAAACTTTTTTTCCTTGTCGCCGTTACATCGCGACGATGAAAAATTGAAAATCCACTTCGTTGATATTGTTTATTGAATAAGAGAAAGGGGATAGGCAATGAAAATAGAGTTAGCAATACGTCCGTTCAATTCGACACGTAGTCGAACTAGATACGTGCGCGCTCGAACCAACTTTTTCCCGCTCATGTGGAAAAATGAGAGGAAAGAGGAAGGGCAACGAAGGACTCAACGTTCGCCGGCGTGCGTTAGGCAAACGAATCTCGAGAGCGAGCAAAAAAATATGCTGACTAATGCAAGACCAAGTTTCTTCCGAAAGAATAGAATGCCGGCTAAATTGAACTTTTCGGCGTTCGCTCTGTTTTGGTTTCTCGCGCGCGTGCCAAGCTATTACGATATACGCGCGCCCTATCTTTCGCTTCCTAGCATTACATCTCCCCGGCGCCTGGCGCTTATTTACGTCCGAGGGAGCGGATGAAGTTTCGCTGGAAAGATATTCCGGGTGTGAGCGAGCAGCCTCAAATGAGACGCACTCCGTCGCGCTTACGAAGACATTAATCGACAGGACACGCAGCATTGCGCTCCCTTTTCACGGCGAGCTAGTGAACGTGACGAGCGCCGTGGAGCCGAAGTGGTCGCGGCGCGCAGCCGCAGCGGCTAAGCGGTCGCTTTGAAAGATCTGCGCGTAAGCGCGGTCGACTTGAGCTCCAAGGCGTTTTATCCGATTAGGAGGCGACTTTGCTCGTTTCCGAATGAACAACAAGATTTTATAAGTCGCACGTTGATGAGATACGGCATTTGGCTTTTTCGGGATTTTCTCGATTTTCTCGAACGCAAGATTTTCGACAATAAAACGGAGTGCTCCGAATGTTCAAAGTTTGTCAGCAGCTAATCTAGGTATTGATCTCGCGGAAAATATCTTCAACGGCGTTTTACAGTAAATCAATACTCGCCGATAATATAGCTATACTAACTGATTTGTTATTTTGATAAAGTGAGCTGCCGAGATGCATGCATTTATCCATAAACTGCTCCGCACACGCAGAAAAGTAAAAACGTCTGTAAATCATGGGATCTACAGCGGTTTTGAAACTAAGAGGGAGCTTTTACTAGAATTGCTCTCGGCACGAGATGCTCGCCAAATTGCGCTCCGAAACGCCCTAACATTAACATCTTCTTCTGGTGCACGCGTAGCAATTAACCACATCGCATTTAAACATTTTTTCACAATCACTGCTATTCGCAATGAAGAGAACGAGAGCACATAATCCTTAACCGTAAAAGCTACGGGAAAGTCGAATAAAAGAGAAAGAAAGAGAGAGATAGAGCGCAACGCGCGTGTATGGCATCAAACGAGTCGCTGGAGAGATAAAACTCTTAGATTCTCATAGCCTTCATTGTGCTCGTTTCTCTTTTCTTTGACGCGTCTACGGCTTTGACGTGATTATGTTATCCGATGCCTAGGTAGGCATCAATAGGACTGCCGTACTTGGCTGGCTTTAAGTGTACATTCCATTGTGCCGCGGTGAATTAAGATCAAGCGATATAATGATTAATTCGCTCGCGCGATCAACCAGATATCGATTCTGTCCCCTTTGAATTCCGGCGTGAGCTGCAAGATGACAAAGGGACACAATTGAACGTGTTCTCCTATTCTCTTTTTTTTTTGTTTATTGTTTTGATAACACAATGCGGAAAGAAACGAGGATGTTACTTTCATTTCAATGCTTCGTTTCATTCATTCGCTGCAGCAGTCAGTCGCTTTTTCATTCACGATGATCACTCAGCTCATCGCCATTTTTTTTCGTGAAGTATGAAGTTGTGTCGCCGAATAATGCCAACTTTCTTTTCATTTGGAATGCTCACTGATCTGGGTCTATTATTAATGTACCTCGCTTTTTCAATAACGTAACAGGAAAAAATGTCATTTTTGTAACAAAAATATTTGGTTGCTAGCATTATTAACGAGATGAAAAAAATATTGAATTTTCTTTGCTGAGAAGAAGGTGTAATACGAAGTGAATGCCGTAAATATCTCTGCGCGCGGGATGCACATCCAACGAACACACGCGATATCGTGGTTAGATGGCTGATTAACAGTTACCAATACACGCAGCTCTTACTATTTTGAAAAGGATGCGCGCGGTATATTACACTCGATACCCAATGCTCGTAGTTATTGACTAGGTCACCTTTTCAACAGCTTAATGGATCATCTCGAGCTAGTGTGTCGAGTGTTCGGCAGATTGGAGCGTCAAATTAACGCTCTCGCAATCTGTGTCATACCTTAATCGCGCGAATGTCAAACGAAATAATAAGCATAAAGCCAAGCGCGCGGCGCCTCTGGCGAATAATTATAGCGCTGCTGCATTTGACAGTCGATCAAGCACGAGCCATCGGCAAATCATCGAGCTTGGTATGCGAGTCGCGGGCACTTTGGCGTGCCTTTTTCACGCGCCCCGAGTGACCCCGTTGAAGCTCGAGGATTCTTTTGCGCGCTATCTGCGCTTTCTTTATGTCTTCCGCGCCACGGCCATCCTTCCGTTCGCGGCAGAAAGAGGGAAGAGGAAGCGCGCGAATTACCATCTCGCGATGTACGCCAACTTCGTTTTAGATATATACGAATAAGGCAGCGCTAAAAATCGCACTTCCGAAAAAGGGACCTCCGTGCTCGCTCCAGCCGCGAAGCTCAGCGCGACGAATTATAATTCTCGGAATAATCTGCAAGTTTCGCGAAACTTCACGACGTGCATTTTCTCAACGAGCTGCTGTCCAAGCGATCGTTTTTATGATTTCAGGCAGCCCCGAGCTGGACCGACTGACGCAAGTATGCCGCTGGACGCATCGTTGTCCAAGTTCGATTTAAGCGAGCCGCAGTCGTTTTCGTTGATCTCACCGCGGAGCACTGGTATCTTCTCAAGGTAAGACTCAAAGTCGATTTTTCCATTAATAACGAAAAAAAGAAATAACCGTGCTATTCGAAAAAACAATAAAGGATGCAATTTATGTTTTGATTATTAAATTTTGATTTTATATAAATTACGAGCTACGATATTGTTTCGAAGAAAGTTGTTTGTTCCGTTGCTCTAACCATCGTGAGATTGGAGTGCTATCGCAAAGGAAGTAATAACAAATAAGAACATGTAAATTTTTCATTTAACTACCTCCTTGTTTCGTTAGTAATGCACCACTGTGAATAAATTGAAAATTCCTTAGTCGGTCTTTTACGCCGACACATTTTCTCTGAAGACAAAGCTCTAGTTCGTCCTATTACTCGTAAATAAATTACTGCAGATATTGCAACTCGAATTTATCGGATTATTTGAAATAATAAGATAAGTTGCGAGTGAAAAAATCACAGATAGAAGAATTTTCATGCAGTCTAATAATTCAAATAAGAAACCAAAAATTAACACTGTTTGGCAATTTTTAACCCTCGAGTCAGCGGCATTCTTATACCTTTTTCGGAAAACACGGCATTTCCGAGGTGCACGAGGTCGTAAATAAACATTGTGTCGATAACAGCAGGGTGGTTCAATTTAACTTCGAGCGCAACAATACATTGGACTGTGTACACGCTCAATCGAAAAACGCAAGTTGAAGTTCACTTAGATCTTTCTACTCGACTGCACCTTCTAAGTGATGCGCTATTTGGGGGGCAAATACGTAAAAAAAAGGAACTTCTCAAAGCAAACACAATAAGCGATTTGACAGAATTATCTTTCGCGCCCTACATTCGAATTCGCAAAAGTAAACGAACGAACGCGCATCATACACGTTGTATTTGTCAGAGCTCGCGCGCCAGCGCAAACATTATCCCCGCATTGTTGCGCGTACATCCCGATGATAATAATTTCACGTTGCGCTACACACCGCGTAGAAAGAAACCTAATGGCCTGCTCGAGTGCGCGCGCGTCCACCCCTTCCTATTTAATGATACCGAGTCGCAGTTTTCTCCCTTCATTCTATCTGGACGCGCATACGTTCGTGTGTGTGCACTCACACATAACAGCACGTACCATGCCCGCGACGCGCGAGATTATCTAAATCGTCGTTGCGTAATTCAATTGTGAGCTTTGTTCCTCTTTTGAGTGCCTTAATTAATTTTCTACATGCTAATTGGACATTATCTGACTATATGACGTTGGTATGTCGTTGCGAAAATTCTTATGGGACATGATGACAAGGTACGTGCATCTATTTATCGATTTGCAGAAGTAGCTTCAAGTTTTTAATGGCAAAAATTGTTTCTGTTATTTTTCGATTCGTTTTAGACTTTGAATTATTTAGTGCGTTTGCTAAAGCAATGCAGTCTTCTTTAAGACTTTTCTTACACTGTAATTACCACTTGACAGTTAACAATTTTTAAAAAGATCGAGCCTCCCATTGGTATAACGATTTTCGTTTGAAATGATGTACAACTCAAGCTACGATCTTGAGTATTCAAAGGCAAGATCGTGCTTTTATTGATAAGATCGCGTAATTCCATGGACGTAGTTCTTGAAGTCATAATCATAATAAGTATATGGAGTGTTTTTAGAATCTCAATCAATAGTCAAAATGTGATTTTGTCGTAATTCAATGTCGACGAAAAAAACTAGTTAGTGCATCTAAATAAATGTAGTTATGATTATAATTGAAACTATACATAATACACGTAATACTTAAATTCTATACCCTGTTACTTTTGAATCGAGACCAGGTAAATAATGTTACGTAGCATCCCCAAAAACGTGCAACTCATACTTATGTTATACGCGTAAAACCTTGTGGCCTCCATTCAAATTCCCAAGCCGTATCAAAAAATAATTCTAGTCGAGTTTTATGAAGTTGCCTGCGGTGGTTTCCCAACTCGCTCGGCATGATCTATTCTTTCACATGTGGCTCGCTCCGCAAAAAAAAGGAAGTGGTCGAGCATGAATTATGTACGAGGCCGATAATTCCCCCAAGAAGAAGTCCAACCGTGGAAAATGGTCCGAAAGCTGCTTTCAATGAGTTTTTATAATTTATCCTAATGGAAGATGCTCTCGCCATCGCCTACTTTTGACTTGACTAAGTTTTTACATTTACTGTTTTCACACATCAGCGAATTGATGACTCTGCAGTTAATGAGCTGAATCTAGGTCTGATAATTATTGATTTTCCCTAATTGTTTCTGCGAAATAAGCTTGTCAGACGTCAATATGTGTGAATAGTTGATCATAATAATTTTTGATTTTTTTTGTACGTCGCTTAAACACTAAAACATTTATATACCGCGAATAAGAAAAATACGTTAATCATTGCATATAGACCTGTCAAAAATGTCACTATTCGAACGCAGATAAATCGTCGGTTCATGCAATCGAAGAGGGACAACAAAAAGGAGAAAGAAACAAAAGGCCACCTGGCACGAATAATGCACAAAGAGAGAATATAAATCCTCGCGCAAGCGAATGGAAAGTGCATAAATCAAATGGACGCTCTTGGGCAAAAGGACTCATTATCGACGTGACGCGTGCTGAAGTGGATGAAAGGGTGAATTTTTGCTGTAAAAAAAGAGAAGATCAGAGAAAACATTCAAGGCCTCTTCATTTTCGAAAGCTGGAAAATTGCCGTAATTAAGGCAAGTCGGTACGGCAATTGGGGATTTCGCACTATTACGGTTTTCTTTTGCTTCGTAATGGCAAAGACTTTGAGAATGTGATTTCTCTTTTTATTTTGCCAAAAAGAAAAAAGGAAAAGGTTTAGCTTCGCATCAAGTTGAAGTAAACTAATTTTAAAGAACGGCCGCGATGTCAACGCGTCACTTTATCGAAAAATTGCAACTTTTCATGGCACACGATCGACAAGCACCTAAAACAAAAAGAGAATGTGATATTGAATTATTCAAGTATTGGCTAGCACCTTTATTTTCCTTCGTACGAGATACTGATTTTACAAATATGTAAATCAAAAAAGGTTGAAAGTTTTTTTTCTTCGGCCACCTGATTGCAAAGGTAACATTGGGTTCGCTTGTCCGACGTGTGCACATTGCGCGTGAGGAATCCTCGCCAAAGTTGTGTTTACTATTCCACTTGACAAGATGCTATTCAGAATTATTCCTTGTTGATTTTCGTCTTGTGGATTGTTGTTGTAGACCAACGCTGACTCGAGGGACATGCAAGCTCGACCTTCGATTTTTTCATACGAGCCAATTCGACGGGTATTGAAAGATATATTTTTTTTCTTTTCTTACTTGCTACTTCGCAATTTACTTTTTTCGGAAATATTTTGAGAGGTACTTTGCAATACCACTTAAGAATCTATCCTTGCAAGAATTTATTGTATTTTGTGAAACTTGATCTTTGAGTTCGATAGAATTAACCAATTTACTATTATTTTCATAGCAAAAATATCTGTCATTGATTGTTAACATATTTTTGTATATCAACAAATGATAATTATAGTTTTATTCCGTACAGTTCTAAAGAATAAATCAAAATGATTCACGATCTCTTTACCCACAACCATAATATAGTATTTTCGCTTATGGTAATTTCATTTATTTTGAATTAAAATGGAAACTCGACTGAATTGCTAAGAAGCCAAGAAATGGAGAACCGCGATTCTCCAGGGCAATAGAATAAACACTCGTTCCTTAGAATTTTCCAGACGCGCGCGACGTGTATGTGTAAAAAGGTTGTCTCAGCTCTCGACTCGAGCGCGAATATCCAATTCTTGGTGAAACGATGTTGGAGGGTATAAAGTAGGATAACTAACGAGAAGCTCCACTTGCTTTTTGCGTTCTTAATACTTTTTCGATATACAAGGTCGTATGGTTACAAGCTATTTTACACTAAATAAGAACGTACAGGATATTTACTTATAATATCCTTGTACCCGGGCGGATTGTATTTTTATTCCTTTTGCTTTTTCCTCAGAAATGTACTGAGTAATTCTTTGTTGAAGAATCATTGAACTGAAGTAGCATTGCCAGTAACGTTTCTACTTTTGTAAATAAAAAATATTAAAGATTATCGTTATTTTAATGATAAGATTTAACAAAGTATGACAATTTTCAATTCTAATTATTATTTAATTACTTATTGTATTTTATTTTTTTATTTGATTCTAGGAGAAAAATCAAATAAGCTAGAGCCCACCAAAGAAAGTAAAAAATCATCGGCCCCTGAAAAGTCACGACGCGCCGTGAGCTCTTGGTAAGCTTTAAAACATTGTCTGGTGGCACTCACATACATCGGTCCATCGGTAGCATATTCACATGTAAAAATAATATTGGTGTACAGGCGGGAAGCTCGATGGATGTCAGCGTGGTTGTATTTGTCGCGGCTTGGCTTATTATGGTAATGGACAACGTGACTTTGTTGTTCGACGAGTCGAACGCAACAATCTGGCAACCCGTTAATCGTACTCAGCTCGACGAAAACTTTTCACCCGACTGGATTGACCTTTCGCTCGCTGCCTTCTTCTCCGTTCTCATTATTATCACTATCGTGAGTATACTGCATCAAACAAAATCTTACTTTTCTTCTGTACGGCCAGTGAGAAAGAAAACGTCTGTAGTGTTGTTTTGCTTCCTTTTATCGAGCCGCTCGTAGCTTTGCCTTTTCTTTCATTCGCTTTTCCGCTGGAAGGCGAGTGTTGCGCTCTCACCTTTCATGGCCTCTTTTTACGCAAGTTTCACAAAATCTCTCGTTAAGCTTGAAAGTTTTGGCATCCACGCTACGACGTACATTGCAATTTGGAGTTTAAAAACTTCGCAGAGGAGACTAAAGTCTACTGTCGATTAGCAGAATAATTGCACTCGTATCGATGCGCGATAAAAAAGAAAAGTTGCGATTTCGAAATAGACATCCCAACTTAATAATATCCGATCAATTTACAGCTGGGCAACACACTCATAATAGCTGCGGTAGTAACAACAAAACGTCTACGCTCGGTGACCAATTATTTTGTATCCAGCCTGGCGACTGCTGATTTGCTGGTTGGCTTGGCCGTCATGCCACCAGCTGTATTTCTGCAGGTACGTATGTATCTGCGCATATTGGAATTCGTCGTCAGTAGCTGATTGATTAATTGATTGCGTGATGTACAATGACCGCTCGTGTATAGCATTGCCAGCCACAGGCTCGTGTAACGTCGAGCTCCTTTAGAACGAGGATTCAATGGGTGATCTTGGCGTGACCTGGAATTCGGATGCGTCGTTGGCGATTCAAGCTAATTAAATATGTCCTCGGTGCAATAATCAATGCGGAATTCCAATTTCGGAGAAGTTGTTATGAATCATTATGCGTATTAATCTTACTTGAGAGCGTTTATTTTGATGCGATGGACGTTCAAAGGCGGTCCTTAAGTTCGAGCTATATTTCGCACGATAAATGTGAGCTGAAAAATATTCTTGCCACGTCACCGCTCAGCCTTCGAGCAATAGTATCACATGATGAAGATGTCAATAGTCGCACGGCAGCTCCAGGATTGAGCGGATTTTTCTTAAAGGCATATATATTCTATACCGTTATAGTTTAATCTCATATATATATATATATATATATATATATATATCGGTGAGTCTACTAAACACTCTAATTTTTCAAGAGATTCCGATCGTACGTAGGATTGTAAATTTTCGAATAATAATATAAGGACTTTTATTTTTTTGTGTTATTTTAGAATATCGATGAATTGTATATTCCATCCTTAAAAAAACGAATTCACGAAAATTCGGAATTATTTCTTATTAAATTATTTATGGCAGGGACAAAGTAATCTCGTCAGCATGTAATAATATTCACTCTCAGCTGCTCGTTCGAACTCATCAATCGGAACTTCAAACGTGCTTGGAGCTGCTATACTAAAGCCAATAACACATACCAGCAAAACCGGAAACGTACGATGAAAGCGAATTGATTAATCGGTTGGCTAGCAAGACGCACGTATACAGTCATTGAATGCAGAATTCCAATTTCATTTTCATTTCCTCAATTTGTAATAACATTCATTTGTACAAAAATAATTAATTAACACCGTTTGACTCTTTGAACGTGTCATTTTCGTCAACTAAACTAAAGATATTAGCGGCTTTTATGGACGCTTGGCTTTGACACGTGGATTTAGTGCACACTCGAAGTAGATGCACGGACGCGCTGACAGTTCACCATTGACACGACCAACCTCTCAGGCTAATCGGATTATGGACTACCGGTTAATTTTTCTTGATTTATCGATTTTTACTGATTTTATATCTGAGGATTATCGCCTAGAGAAGCGCCAAGTAATTGCCTTTTTTTATATATTAACATGCATGATGACGTTATCACTAACGTCTCAATGAATATGTTATTGAGTATAAGCCTTGACTTAGAACAAATGAGATTGATATTTCGATTGAAATATTTAACAAATTAAAGCAAGAACACCAAAAAACAATACTTCTGACGTTTTTCCAAAAATTCAAGTAGTACAAATCGATAATAGTCAGGCAGTCCGCAAACAGCTGTGCGACAGAGAGCAGCAGAGTCGACTAGTCAGAAAAAAGCTCAAAACATCGTTTTCCTTTCAACGAATATTGAATTGGAAAAGATATTCCTATTTTCTTCAGTTGAAAATAAAAGTTCTTTCGCCGTATCTAGAATACTTACTTTAAGTTCTCCCTCCCCTCATAAATCAGTTATACAAGTAAAATATCCTTTTCGCTTTGGTGAATTATTTTGCCTCTATTGCAGATTCGGATGAGAAACTTTGATTAAACTGAACGTCGAATTTAATAATTCATCTTGACATCGAATTATTTTAATGTAAATGTATTTCAACTAAAGATTAACATTAAAATAGTTTTCGAAACTTAATGTCAGCAACAGCTAAGCAAACAAATTACAACTGTCTAAACAGCTATAAAGCAAAGGAAAGAAAGAAAGAGATTTCCGCGTGAACGGCTATAAGAGTTTAATAAGGAATTGTTTGCCTATAAATTCAGAGCTGATCCACAAAAGCTTAGCTCGCAAACGCGACGCTGTTTGTTCACTCGAAGCGCGTTTCACTTGTACGAAGAGAGACGCGAACGGAGAAAGAGAGACTCGGACAAACAATGAGACGACAACGGCGCATATTCGCATTCAAGGCCACGTAATTAAGCTCGTCTTTCAGACCTCGCAAGCTGACAAAATAAGATTGGCCTCTTTTGTTTTGGCTTTATTTTTGTATTGACCGCAAGTAATGTCTGAATGTTTCTTTCTTTGGAATTTCCGAATGACGAGTAACGAAAACTACTCAATAGTCCTGGAATTTCAATGGGCCACGCTTTTTGTTATAAATTTTCGTAACATCACCATGTAACGTTAGCACATAATCGCAAGAAACATACTTAAACTACGGATCTAGTAATTGAGTTCTTTGTCCAACAGTTGAACGGCGGTACGTGGGAGCTTGGCCAGGCACTATGTCGTTGTTGGATCTCACTGGACGTACTCCTCTGTACGGCAAGTATTCTGTCCCTCTGCGCTATATCCATCGACAGGTATAACACTAACAAGAAAAATTGTTTTTTCAAATGATCCCAGCTTTTTCGTTGATGTTGTCCTTTTTCATTGCAGGTATCTCGCAGTGACAAAACCTCTAACCTACAGCCGTCGTCGGCGTAGTAAACGCCTTGCCGGTCTGATGATCATCGCTGTTTGGGTCGTCGCTGGTGGAATAACATCGCCGCCACTTTTCGGTTTGTTTCCACGAGCGCGAAACTCAATCGAGACCGAAAAGGAATGCTCGTACAACATGGACTCGTCGTACGTGATTTTCTCGGCGATGGGCAGTTTCTTTCTACCATTGCTCGTGATGCTCTACGTTTACGGGCGAATATTTTGGGTAATCGCCAAGCGACATCGCAGCTTCGAATCGAGCGACACTGTCAGCGTGCCCGTGGATCATCACAAAAGGCGCAGCTTTGAGCTGTCTGCCAACGAACCGCGGATGAACCGACGGAATTTTCGCAGGAATTTATCCTCCGTAAGTCCTTGAGATCATTGTTCAACTGTTCCCTCACCTTCTTTTCACGTGCTCGAATGGTGCATCGTTCAAGTTTGTCAAAGCTGCAGTTCACGTCTGTCTGAGCCTGTGTTTTGCTACGCGAAAACGAGGCCTTTAATTATTTACGAGCCAATAAATTCCCAACAGCATCCAATTGCCTAGAAAGTAGCTAGGAGTACGCGAACAACGTCGATTGGCAAAGTGCAATCGAACAAAGTTGCGATCTCATGCTGTACACGCGTCACCTTCTCCAATAAACATTACAGAGTAACGAGCGCGGCAAAGCTACGGCAGCGGCGAAAACTTCGTCGCGTTTGTCTTTGGGCTCACGACTGTCCACAGCGTCGGTGTCGGAAAGCGCAGGCGCATCCGAAGCGATAGCCGCGGAGACGACCACATGCAAAACTTCTACAACACTAGCAGTCCCCGCGAAATTGCCCGTCGAACAAACGACTTCGAGCAGTGTTAGCCCGAATAAAAGGCCAATCAGTAGAGTTGGCACTTTGCGCACGCATCACCACAGCTGCATCAACAAGGTGACGAGGGAATCCAAAACTGCCGGTACTTTGGTGGGGGTTATCGGTGGTTTCGTCTTTTGCTGGCTGCCTTTCTTCATTCTCTATCTGGCCACACCGTTCATACGTGTAGAACCACCAAAACCACTTATGCCTGCACTTACGTGGCTTGGTAACTATTTTCATGTGGTTCTAATGCGAAATAAGCTACATAATAGTTTTCTAAATTTGTTGGAAAAAATTAGACTTACATTTTTATTTATTTGAAGAATTTTCTTTAACAAAACGAACATAAAAATCGCTTTATAGTCAACTGATAAAGAAATGAATTCGTATGTAACAGGTGAGTAGTAGTATCAACGTTTCGTTAGACATTTGCATGAAAACTTGAGTGTTCAAGTATTCGAATTTACGGTGTTTTGTAAAATTGCAGTCCTTGTGATATATAGGTGGAATTTCAAATTTTCAGGCTGGATAAACTCGGCAATAAACCCGTTCATCTACGCATTCTACTCAGCAGATTTCCGTATGGCGTTCTGGCGACTGACCTGTCGCAAATGTGCTCGCAGCAATTTCGATTCGAATCAGCCTGGGGAAATGCACAGTCGTGTTATCGTTAACTGGAATAGGCAAACTACGAGAAATTAAAGTCCGATATATTCGATAATTAATAAGCTTTTTCTCGCCAGTTTTATAAGGAAATAAAAAAATGGACATTGGACCGGCCGAATAATGTTTGTTCCGAGGAAGTTCAAGTTTTTCAAGTAAATCTTTTGTGCAAATAAGTCTAAGGCTATTCTATCGATTAGAAAATATAAATTAAACTCTGAAAAATTGTTGCTTCAAATAAAAAATTTATTAATACTTTATCCGTGTTGAGGATACTGACTTACGGCGATTGTCTATCGTCGTTTACTGTCAGACGCGCAAATCATAGACTCTACGAATTTTATCTAACGATCGAGTTATTTCAGACAGCAATGTACCTGAAAGTTCCGCCGAATAAAGTGATAATGTCAGCCAATTATTTTCAATTTCAACGAACTCTTCTTTGATAATCGAAATAAAAAATGTAATGAACTTTTCATGCGTTTGATATCTTGGTCAACATTTATTAACAATCACTCAACATACTGAACTCTATACAGTATTTTCTACGTAAATCAATCTAGTCCTTTATTTTTAGTGTGAAACCATTTACTGTTAAACCATCATCTAATTTCGTTTCCCCAACGAGTTTTAGATGTAGTAAGCTTTACCAACTACGAGTAAAATAAGCCTAATGTTAAATCATACAAGAAAAAATGCTACGTTTGTACAGCGAAAAGCAATTCTATTGTAGCGAATGAAAAACACTTAAAACATATATGAACTTTGAATAAATAAAATAATGTTTGATGAATGAATGGAAGCATATTATAATCGATTCTGCTATACATGCTCTATGAAACATCGCGAAGCTCTTTTTTATAAAGTTTCGATTATGCTCTAATCCAAAAAGCAAAATAGTTCAATGAATCATTAAAACCGATTATTTAGATAAATATTTTTCTTTGCATACTGTCATGCAGTAGAAGGCACTATATTACAACAAAATGTACACGGTTGTTTACTGAATGTATTTTTTAATTTTCTTTGCCAATGATTGATATTTTATATTGTATTCCTAGTTGAATAAATTCTCAAATCACTCTCTTCATTTGTATTATAATTTAATTTAATTCCCTTTAATTAGTGTTATTTTATTTCGGAATTTTCAGAATTAAATTACGCGACTTTTCATTAGGTAAGTAAATTCAAAAAATAGTTATTCGAAAAAGATGTCTTCATAACGAACTAAAAATAAAATGTAATCGTAAATTGAATTAATGATACATTTTAAAATGAAAACGATCATATACGGTTACTTTAGAACCATTTTCGAATAGGATTGATCTAGATTACTTGTATACAAAATAAAAGATATTCAAATATTTTCTTCATATTATTTTATTATCTTGTAAACGCATAAGAAAACATCAAAATGTACAAATTATCAGATATTTAATTTAATCGATACTATATTCAACATGAAAAATACAATAATAAAACTGCAAGCAATAAATTACAGATAACGTGCCAATAATATAATCGATATTTCTAAGATGAATTATAAAAAGAAGTTATTTACGTTACAAAAATATAATACAAGTGTAGTCAGTTTTTGTCATTCAAGGAACACATCATGACAATTGCAATATAATTTCAATAATAATAAAAAGATTGCACTGTCATTTTAATTTTTCCTCTTGAACTTCATATATACAGTCAATTTTGTTATACATTTGTTACACGTTAAGCAAGTTAGTTGAATTAGGACAAATGTTCAATTACGACTCGTACCAATAATATTATATTTTCTAAGCCTTCATTTTGCATTGTAAGATTAAATGTAGTTCAATTATAAAATATATTAAATATATCTATCATATGTCGATTCTATTGTAATCTATAAAATCTTAAAACTATATTATTTATTACAACATAACACAATATACTTATACAGTAAAGAATGAGAGTGACTAACAGAGAAGAATATGATTCTGCAATGATAGTCAATGATTAAAATATTCCATCAATTTATAATAATTTCAAACTATGTAAAAAGAAAAAATATATCTATATATAATGCTCAATACTTCATCAACCTCACTAGGGCATCACATAAATATACTCGCTGTATAGTCTTTAATACGAAAGTAACATATGAACATTTCTTAACTCTTGTGTGCCAACTGGTACAGTAATAACTTGCGAAGGCCCTTTACTGGGGAAAGTAACTTCAGCCGTAACTGGCTCGTTTGAAGCATTAAATGCTGCAGTTATGTGCCGAGCTGGAAATACAGCGAAATCTGATTCCGCTAATCCACCTAACGTTCGCTTGAGCGTCTCTTCACGCACCTGAGACTGCAAACAATTAAAAATAAACTTATCGAATGTCATTAGAGTGATGTTGCATCGACAATAAATCATGACTTACGTTAAGCTCTGCAATGCGATCTTGAAGGGATCTCAATTTGATTTCTCTATCTAACAGTTTATAACCAGGCATTGCTTTATCTAATAAAGGCGCTTCGGTTGCTAGAAGAAGTTTCTTGCCCGTCAAGTCTGGCACCTCTGGGAAGATAGTCAGTTTCTTCATCTCCTGTTTGGATACCAAATAATGTTATTAGTATACAAATGAACGATAGATTAAAAAATGAACCGGTTGTACCCGAAGTAATTCAGCTCTCTTCTGAACCAGTTCTTTGATCTTCAGATCCTCCTCAGACTTGGTCTTGACTTTAGGCAGTGGTGGCAACAATTCCAATTTTTTCTGTAAACTCTCGTTGAGAAGATTCCGTTTCTGTCGCGATTCTTCCTTCAGTGCTGCGCGCAAGGCCTGTATTTTGTCGTACACCTCACTCTCGAGCATTGGAGTGCCAAATGATGGTAATGTGCTACTACTGCTGATATTGATAATACTTGAAGTACCATCACCACCAGGAGTACTTGTAATGACACCTTTTTTGCCACCAATAGATTTGAGCTTCTCTTTAAGTTGGCCTTTCTCTGATTCCAAACTGTCAATGTCAGTTTGAAGATGATCCATTGTTTCTTCGAATTCTTTTTCCTGAACCAATCAAGCAATGATAGGATAATTAATTATCTTTCTTTCAAAATTGGAAATAATTAAATAAAAGTATCTTTGTTATCGATAAAATCATTAATTTTAAAGTATAATAACGGAAGTTGTGAAAAGATAAGGAACCGTACCTTTTTCCTTAATTGGGTTTGAACCTCTTCCAAGTTTCTCTTAAGTTTTTCAATAGCCAACTCATGTTCATGCTGCTGACTTGTCAAACGTTTTTCAGCCAATTCCTTCCTCAAAATCATTTCTGACAATTCTTCTTGTTTCTCTCTAAGAGCTAATTTCATTTCGCGAATGTCACTGTCCTTGGATTCTAGTTTCCTAATGAATGCAAAAAATCACGAGATTTACCAATTTTTCTTGTGTATATATCATCGAAGAAACATATTCAAATCTTTCAGCTTTGATGAAATATATTAATGGTAAAAACAAATTCATAAAAGTATAATCGGCTGAATATTTTCTTTTCATAAATAATTGATTAATAAAAAATGCAATTAAATTGATTAACTGACCTTGCAAGAACTTTAGTTTCTTCAAGTTCCTTACGATTAGCCTGTGCTCTAAGGAAAATAGGACTATTCTCCTCGACATTGTCATTCTTACGATGAGCCGTACTACCACTTATAGCGAGCTCATTTTCACATTCAGTCATTCTTTCGGCAAGATTTGTAGATACCTTCTGTATGATCGCAAGGCTAGCTTTAATAGTTGCAATTGCTCCAATATCATCGGAATCGTAAATCTTTTCTGTTGACGTTGCTGCCATTTCCTTCAATCTCGATGCGCTTAAGCCTTTCTCCAAATCTGTTTTATTCATACGAAGAAAGTAATAAAATGATGAGTCGAAAATTAACACTGAATTATTTAAGTCGAAGATCTGCATATTATTGTTTATATGAATATTTATGTGTAATAGGCGTAGATAAATGAAAAGATTTTTTTCGAAATTGATATGGAATGAAGAGCGGCTCGTAAGCAAAGTTAAATACAAAAATTATTATAAATAAAGTCCGCTAATAAATTCGAGTGCAAGAATATTTATCGATATATTTCAATTACAATAACAAGGTTTTTTCAAATAAATAAATTTGTTAGAATTCTTACCACCACTTGTAAGTATACTCTGTAGCGCAGTTTTACTTAAATCTTGAAGTGTTTTCATGAGTTTGGTTGCGTGCTGGTAGCACGTGACAATTTGCTCATACCAAGATTTATCGAGACCCAAACTTGTCTCGTTCGGAGTCATGACAACAAGGAATTCACGCGGAACACGCCGTCGTGCGGATTTCAAGTTCTGCTGCACTAAATCGCATACATTTTCTACGTGCTGACACAGTAGACCCATATCACCTGGCTCTCCGTCTATCAAGTTCTTGATGGCTGACACGTCTGTCACTAGTGCTTCGCAAGCAGCTCCCAAACATCTAAAATTATGAGAAATTAAAGTGATTAATACTTTATTTTTAATAATAAATTTTAATATCGATAACTTTTCGACCTACCTAGTACCATTGACAACGAATTGAGATTGGTTTGTAAGATCCTCCTCTCCAAAGTAAATACCGTAAATAATAAGAAAATATGAGCAGCACTTTTCCGTAGCATCGAGCGAAAGATTTTCATCGAGCTGATCTCGTTTCGCTAAGTCAATTAAAAAGTTGATAGCTTTTTCTTGGACAGCCATTTCCGGATAAGCGCTTGCCACTTTGAGTAAATTGTCAGGAGAACAGACTTTGAGTGCTGTTTCAAACGAATAAAGAGCCGTTTGTAAGGCATACATGTGAGAACAGAATCTAGATCTGAACGAACTCTGAGCAACTGATTCTCCTTTCAAGATTGTTGCTCTGGAATCAAATTCAACGATTACTAAAATTATTTAATGATGATGAGAAAATGAAGCAAGTAGGACCTACTTATCAATTTTCTCCACGTGCTTATATTTATCAAGAACTTGAGAAATTAGTATTTCTGTTTTTTGAATCATTCTGGGTATAAAAAGTAACATTAAAATAGCGTCGTGATCACCGCCACGAGTCATAAAAGCAGGAGGCATAAAAGATAATAAATATCGAACGTGGGCACGAGCTTCTTCAGCATCTAGGCGTCTTAATTCTAAATCTACAGCCTTTGTTTGTGCTCTCGTTTCGGCAAAAGTCTTTTGGAAATCAAGAATCTCCGCAAGTTGTTGTTCCGTTCCTAGAAAAATAAAAAAAAAAGCACTTAATTCAATCTTTATCTAGATAGCTATTAAAAGTGACGACAATTGATACAGCCATCAAACAGCAATGCAAGCCTACCTTTAGCAGCAGTCTTGGTCGATTCGGTAGACTGCAATCGATTTTGTAGTTCCAAGCACTGTTCTTGTAACTTTTGCGTGAGTTGGCGAAACTTGGTAATCGTCATCTCTCGATCGGACAAAGTTTCAAGGGCTGCATCCCGTTGGCGTTGGGCATCGCGTGCAGCCGCAAGAGCCATATCTAACTCCTCGCGAAGTTCCATCTCGAGCTCCTTCGATGACTCGGCAAGCTGGTCGGACATATCCTGTCAAATCGTTCAATTAGCAAACTTTGTCGAGTATGAGTTTTAAAATAGAGTGTTACTGAGAGAAGTTTGATTATTAAAGTAAGTAAATAGAAAATGTGCGTGAAAAGTATGAACCTGAAGAGCTTCTAAATCTGAAACAGCTTCCTCCAACTCGATAACTTTCTCTTCCAATGCTATTTTACGTTCACCAAGAACTTCTACCATTTCTTCGGCACCCAAGGCAGCGTCAACCTTAAAATGCACATACATAAGATTCAATTGAAATCTTGTTAACAAAAAATTTCATTTTATCAAAGAACTTACTTGCTCTTGTAAATCAGCGATTTGATGCTCCATCTCTTCAACGCGAGCCGAAAGTTTCTCTTTTGTCCTGCTAAGTTCTAAAATCTCCGATTTTTTTTGCTCGAGATCTTTCTGCAACTTTTGAAACTCATGCTTCTCATGAGCCGATAAGTCTCTCATTCGAACAAGAGTTTCACGGAGCCTGGCATTTTGCTGTTCTAATTGTTTAACCTCGAAACTACTCGCCCCAGTTACTGATGGAGTTCCCGACATCTGTAATAATTAAAAGTGCACACTCAAAAATAACTCTTCTTTTAAACGTGATGAAAATTTCATATGAATTGTACCTTTTCTGACATCTCATTGCGTAAGATTTCCAGATCAATCGTTTGCTCCTCAAGTTTTTCTTTCAATTGCTCTAATTCAATCTGTAAAGTTTCAGCTTTTTCTTCGGCCATCTCTTTATCTAACGTAGCCATTTCCACAGTTTCGGCTAAATCTGCCATTTCATCTTGATACTGTTCTCTTGCTGCATGTGCATCGCGAGCTTCTTGTTTTGCTCTTTGCAATTCTCGTTGCAGACTTGCCTATATAACAAATTTATAAATGTATTGTAATTTTCATTTTTCAAAGAATACATGTGCGCAGAATTACTCGTACCTGACTTTCCATTACTTTATCTTTAAACTCGATGAGCTGCTCCAACTGTATTTTGATCTTCTCGAATTCCTTCATCTTTTCTTTATCTTGCATTCGTTTAACTCGCAGTATTTCAATTCTTTCAGTAAGATCTCGAATCTACAGCAAACATTAACAATTAATTACCGCTTGCATCATAGAGTATCATAACATAATTTGTGTTAAAAAACCTGAGCCTTCAGATTCTCATTATCCTGCTGGAGTTGCATATAAGTAACTCGATCCTCTACTGAGATAGGCGTCATGTTTGGTGTAACCATCGCTTGACCAGGTGTAAACTGCGGCTTGAGAGTTTCCACAAAACCAGTCTAAATGACAAAAAGAAATATAAAATAAACATCATAGAAAATGTATAACAACGCGTAATGTAACAGATGTTCTTCTAGATCTACAACTTTGTTCGTGTACTCTTTTAGTGCACGTTATAAAAGAGAATAAATAAGAAAACAAATACTCCTTTTATACATTCCTCTGTAAAATTTTTTTGAGCTTTCGTGTTCTCATTATCTAAATGTTATTTTTTATACATTCATGTTGAGGGCTCAGGAGTTCAGGGTTTATCTAAGTTATTTTTCTTTTTTACTAAGAGAACGTTGATCATCTATATGAAACTAAAGGCTAACAAGTTTTATAATAGTTTTCTTTTTTTCAACAACGCTCCCTTTTCAGTTACAGAGTTTTCTATTTATATATATATACAAACTATTAATCGGGTAATCATGTTATAAAATACACCAAAAAAGAAGCTGTATGCCAAAAAAAAATAACTTTTTTTAAATTGCATTAGTTTAATAGAATTCATCTAACAATCACATCAATGAACACATCGTCCATAGTGTTAATGCAACCAACAAAAATCCTCAAACCTGATAGTTCGTACTTGGCAACATTATTGTCTACAAAAGCATCGTAATTATTTGTATAATTTGAATGCCTCGTACGAACTGAAGATGATGACATAAGGAGAGACAAAAAAAAGGAGGATGATGATGACGATGAGAGATGATGAGTCAAGTAGACATTGTTATTGTTACAACACAGAGCGGCAAATATTTTTGTGCCAAAAAAGTGTCAGCTGTAAAGTAATTCGCTAAAGATTACAAAGTTACTTATAGATGAAGGAGACGATGTTATGGATTGAGATAAACAGAACTATTGAAAGATACTATAATGTATAGTAAGGTCAATTGAATAGCCGTGTGCATTTTGTAAAACAAACAAACCAAAAAACCGTCAGCCCAAAACGACGATAAGCTGCAGTTATTAATTGTTGACATAATATGTTAAATAAATAAAAAACTGAATTCGCTGATGTAAAGTATATAAATGTAAACGAGCGAGCGTGTAAAAAGGAACACAGTTATAAGAGATATATATGCAAGTTTCCGAATAAATAGATATAAAGGTATATGAGAATTGATTAATTACATTGTCGTGGTCGCCAGGGGCCTTCGGCATTTTGCCCGGTGGCGAGCTCGTGCTAGGTACCCTCTGAAACACGCACATGTACATATTTGTCCCTTTATTTAGCCGGCCATTCAAAAGTGCTTGTTTTCATTTTTTCCACACACAGATAAAGAGATGCCCTTTTTTAATTCATATCAATAGATGCGTAACAGAGAAAGAAAAAGGTAAAATATATAAGGTCAGGTCACAATGCACAGCTATTCGATCGCAAGCTGTAGAGTTTACGATGGAAACAAAAGAGAGAGATAGTTATTCAGTTGCAGTATTTCCGTGCAAAAATACCCTTTGATCGTATCCATTGATTGTTGTAACCCCAAGTTGTAGAAAGAGTGATAGGTTCATAGAAGGATTAGCTTTCAAGAAAGAAAAAAATATTTTAATTCATTTATGTCAAATAAATATTGAATACAAAAAATTTGGAAAATTTTATGTCATTACTCTTTGAAAACAAATTAACAGTTTTATGCTAATACAAAATAAACTTTTGATACAAAAAAGTATTTATAAAATTAAAATGATCATTGATCGTGAATTATTCCTTCTTTTCAAGGATCAGTATTCGACTTCCAAATGAGAATTGTCGATAGTATACCAACAATTCATTGGTTATTCACAAAAATCTATGCATCATTACCATTTCAATCTCATCCGACCAAAAATCAAGAAATACAAAATAAAAAACCAGGTTTTAAGTTCATAAGATCAATTACTATAGAGAGGAGAGAAGGGAACACGGATCGACACGTCCTTTTCGATATAAAACTCAAACAATACCTCGACGAAGGAAGCCCTCTTCGTGGACATTGGAGCAGGTATAAGAGATTCACCACCATCTTTACGCTCGTGACCAATACTACTAAGATTCTCTGTACTTGGGGCAGCTAATTGCGTCCTGCTACCGGCCAATGACATCCTCGAGCTGTGGAAAATATAGTACTTTAGAATTATGTGAGTTAGGTAGATGCATCACGATGACAAATGTTGTTTTAAAGAGATTAGAGTGATAGTAGAAGATTCATAATTAATTTTGAAAATATTACATTGTAGAGTACCGATTTTATAAAATTAGCTACAATTTTTTATTACGTTCCTTCTTGCACCTCCTAATGTTAGTTTATCGGTTAAAAATATTATACTCACTAAGTTTTCATGACAGCTTCGATCGAGTTATGGAGTAAATTCTTTTTAGTAACACATAGAGAATAGAACATATTTAATTTAACAATCTTGTAAATAGTTAAAATAATCACAAAGCTATACTTATTTATACCGCTTATTTTCTAAGATACCAAATTCAAAATCAAATTCATAATGATTGACTCTTATTATAAACGACAAGCTCAGATCACTGTAATCTCTTATTCATAATACTGTAAAATCAAACAATATATAGCAACAAAAACAAATAATTTATAATTATGCATGTAGCGTGCATTTTTTGACAATAAATGACGTTGATATTATGTTGATATTGATGACAGCTTATATCGTATATAATGTGCTATACAGTGGAAAGACTTCTGAAAAGTGTCTGCTAGACATATGACTGTATTGCAAACAGAAACCAATCGGATCCTCCAAGTAAGTAGAATTCAAATTACATAATCTTAGATTATAGTAAATATTAAGTCCATAAGCACAAAAGATGAGAAAAGATTGCTGTATATTCACAATGTACTCAAAAACTTTCAAAGTAATTTCTGAAAAATTTTTTGTCTCAACAACAACACCATAGTTTTACAAAGACACAAGCACAAATAAAGCTTTTTACGTATTGCATTTTTTTTGTAAAGCAAATTTCGTGATGAATAGTAGGAGAGAATATGACTAATTTTTCACTCTGAATTCCATTGTGTTTCTTACCCTGAAAGTTTTTCTGTATGTTGTAATACTTTTGCAGGTGACGTTTTTCTTCGTACTCTTTACAAAGCAGCAAAGATATTAAAATTTTGTTAATTTCTATTGAATTCGAGCACAGCCAATGTTTTTTATATTTCAGTAAAACACTTATTAAAAAAATTTAAAAAAATGTATGACTCATCTAAAAACTTACGCAGTAGGTTGATTCCGTTGACGTACAGCAGCACTGAGATGAAATTAATAGTTAAGCCTACTTCATTTTACATTATTTTTTGAGATATACACAAAATAATTTTCTTTTAACAGATGCATAATATATTTCATCATTATTAATCAATTAAATTATGATTTAACACAATATTAAGTTTATTTTTCAATAACTAAAATAACAAAAATATTATACATCTGATTATAAACTATAGAATAACAACGATATTCAACTGAAGATCACAGGAAGAGATAAATTAGTTTGGAGAAACTATGAAAAATGGTTACTTGGGGATTTGAATATAGACTTTAAAATTTTATCAAACAGTTGTTTATACCTTGTCAATCTACTTCGAGCCCTTGATGCACCAGCCTCATCTGGAGTATTGAGACCACTAGCAGCTGTTGAAGATGGACTCACAGTATCTGTTCTATTTCCAGCATCATCAATCATGATCAATTGTGTCTGACGCACAAACATTCCATGGTTTTCTGCACACTAAAATATTACACAAAACTTTAAAACCTATGCACCACAATATAAAAATTCTTTGACTTACTAATAGTGAGCCATAAAGCAATGAAACGGAATAATCCAAAACTTGAGTTATACACAAAATCATGCAAAGGAATTTAATATTATGATAATCACAAACTTTACCTTAAAATAAATTTGGCCTTTGATGGTGCCATTATTTTTGCCCTTAGGTTCATCTAGGACTACCCCAATCCACTTGCCAGCTGCAAATTGAGGGTGTCCAATGTAGGCAATTACACCCTGGCAATCCTTGCCCATAATTTCAACGCGCTGACCAATTTTCAGCGACATTTTGATATCTATTTTTGATTAATTCTTTTCACAACATCGAGATTTTAGTTGTCACCAGTTGGACACCATCTCCTGGATCTAGTGCTCACTTGATCTTACATTCTTTTCGGAATGTCCATGATGAAATCGATTGCTTCGAGTTTATGTCTTCGTTAATAATTGAAGAAGTTTCGATAACAAAGTGAAAGGATTGCAAAATTGCAAAATCAATAAATTTTGAGAAATGAACATTGATGTCAATTTAGGTTAACTATATTGAGCCCAGTGCTGGGCTGAATTCGCAATCGTTTCTTGACTACCTTCAGATCGTCCACTCTGCCTCCCACTTCGTTCTGTTCACCGCGCTTAATTCATATTTAATGAGATGATTGAATAGATATATACACAGTGTAATTAAAATTAAAACGTGAAAAATATTTGGTTTTGGTAAATTGATATTATTTGTAATATCAACAGCCGAGTTATATTTCAAATATACCATTTTTAGGAAAAAAACAATGGCTATTTTATTCAGATTAGACGTTTAAAATACAAAATTAATGTTAAAATTTATAAATTATGTAAGCTGCGCGTGTGAGGGTTAAAAACCAACTTTTAACTACAGAGTAGATGACCTGAAGGCAGTCAGGAAACTCGAAGCGAGCAATTCGATTTGGCCCAGCACTGAATAGTAAACATATGAGTCTAATTGTATCGGATCGTCTGTTGAGTGTCTACTGCACTCCAACAGTAGCTATTTCGTATGTACAAACGTGTACTATCTGGTACTATGCACCGCCGCGCATGGTATCTCACGAACCATCGCAAGTCAATCCTTTTCTTTAAGTAACCGAGAGTTATAGTTATGGACTTAATGATAACAGGATGAATTAGCAGGATAACCTGCACTCATAACACCTGACAATGGAGTCATCATCAACACATCAATATGTTTGACACCATAAGTGAAAAGAAGCACCCATGCACTCTTGAAAATTACAAGTGTCGATTGTCATACGCCAGTTGAATTTTTGTTTGATTGCATTTACAAACGTTTTTTTTACAAGGATCTCATTACACTTTTACGTGTTCTTCCTACCTTGAACTGTGTTCGTTTTCTTTTTTTTTATATTTACAAAATATTTGCTCAAGCTATACTTTATCTTTCTTTTTGTAATCAATTGTGTTCAAGTATGTATGCATAATTAAGACTGATATATATATATATGTGTGTGTGTGTGTGTGTGTGTATACATATATATATATGGCGCACTAGCAACATAAGCAATAAGCAAAACAGCTTGCCCAAGCATGCGACTTGTTAATAATCTGGAGCAGCAATCAACAAAACATTATCAATATAAATAATTATGATATGCTGCAGTGATAGATATTACAGTTGTCAGTAATATAAAACAAAATATACTAGGCTTTGCAAGAATGTTGATATTGTAAAAAATTGTGGCAGCAAGTTATTGTGATATGCATAGAAATCTTAAAAACAATCAAATTTTGCTATCGAGATGTTTGGTACTCCCAGAGATGCTGTGAGAGTCAAAGTTAAGGTAATACATTTATGGCTTTTCTGGAATCCTAAGACCGGCAAACATATGTTTATCTTGCCAAACAGTGTGTGAACTCATCTTGTACATATATTTACATTAAGATATACTCTATTTCAGAAGTGTGAAACAAAGCAAAAACCAGAGTATAGAAAATTTAGTGTGGACCCTCAAATAACATCGATTGAGGTTCTTCAAAGTATTTTAATAAAGGCATTTGATATTAAAGGGTTAGTATTTTATATTTACTCCTTAAGCTTACAATAATTAGTATAGTTCACAAATGGTCTCTAATTTCAGAGAATTTACAATTTCGTATAGAGCAATAGATGATTATGGGGCAGAGACATATTTATTTCTTTTATCTGACTGGGACCTTGATGCTGCTTTTATAAGGTAGTATCATATTTTGCATATCATGTCTTTTGTTCTGATCTCTTAATTATTTATCACACTTATTTTACAGTGCATCTGAACCATATCTTTATCTACAAGTAAATGTGAAGCCTTTTGGGGAAACCAGTGAGTGTGAAGGTGATTGGGAACATAATATACAACATGTGGCATCTAGAACCGAACTGGGTTTTGCACACAAGGCCCCCAGATTACCTGATATTATTATGAATAGAGTAAATATTAAAAAATATAATTTAAAAACTACAATGTATGCATATTTTCATTTTGCTTTTTGCTATTTAGATGGAAAAAACTTTAAACTATGTACAAAAGGCATTAGGCAACTTTGGTGAAGATACAAGTGCTAGTGCACAACCCCCTCTTCCTCCTTTAACAGATGCTGAGTTTCGCAAGTTTTTAGATCCTATTGGGCAAATTATACAATCCAAAGAATTGAGAGCTGTAATTTATTTTGGTGGTATTGAACCCAGCCTAAGGAAAGTTGTTTGGAAGCACATCCTTAATGTATACCCCGATGGAATGTCAGGTAGGGAGAGAATGGATTATATGAAATATAAAGCTCAGGAATATACCAATCTCAGAGATGCTTGGAAAAATTTAATGCAGAGTGGACAGAATGTTGGAGATTTAGGTTTACTTTTCGATTATAATCATATACTGCATATTGTAAGAATGGTAGATTAAAAAATTTATTATTTCATTGTAGCATATGTCACAAGTATGGTAAGAAAAGACGTTCTCAGAACCGACCGACATCATAAATTCTACGGTGGTTCGGACGACAATCAAAATACGGCGAGTCTTTTTAATATTCTCACAACGTATGCTTTAAATCATCCTTGTGTTAGTTATTGCCAAGGAATGAGTGATCTTGCCTCACCGCTTTTAGTTACTATGCGTGACGAAGCGCAAGCTTACATTTGTCTTTGTGCACTTATGAAAAGACTTCAGAATAATTTTATGCTTGATGGAATAGCAATGACTACCAAGTTTGCGCACTTATCCGAAGGTATGTAACAAAAACTAAAAAGATTGGTGGTTACAAGTTTACCACTTGAACTTTTCATTTGTGATTTAACTCGTCAGGTCTTCAGTATTACGATCCAGAATTCTATGCATATCTCAAATTGCATCAAGCCGATGATCTATTATTTTGCTACCGATGGTTACTTCTTGAAATGAAACGCGAATTCGCACTTGACGAAGCAATGCGAATGTTAGAAGTTTTATGGGCTTCCTTACCGGCATCGCCCCCACCCAATGGAGAACTTCGACTGTTTGAAGTTAAATTTCCACCTCCATCACCACCTCCCAGCCCAAATATCAAGCAAATCAGAGAAAATGCTTACACCAAAGTTTGCGCGCTGCGACGACAAAGTTCATCGGCAAGCATACACAATGCGAGAAGACGAACTGTTAGCACGAACGACGCTTTGCAGGAAAGTAGAACGAACGAAACTCTAGGTCCAAAACGGTAATTTATTGATTTTTTAATTCAACCAATGTTCCTATTATTGAATTGACATTTAAAAGAATACAATTTACATAACAGAGCAACGCAACAACCACAATCAGAACCGCAAAATGAAAGTCTGGACGTAAGAAGAAACCGCAAAAATACTCCAACCGAAAAGTGCCTCAGTGTAGACTCAGCGTCAAGTCAAAAAGTGAACAAACGAGTAACATCATTGCTGGACCTAACCGAGAAGCTGGGCTCTTCGAGTAATCTCGACCAGCAGATGAAGAATCAGGCGACTAAATGCGCGCGTGTCGTTAAAAATCTCAACGAATTTTTAAACTTCAACAAAAGTAGGATCATGCCAAGCGAGGAGTGCGAAGTTGTGACAAAAGTTACGAACGAGGAGGGTGTTATTAGTCATATAAAGGATGAATCAAATTCGCCCGAAGATTTAACAGACTTTTTCCCAATGACTACGTCCATGACGAGGGAATTGCGGCTTGAACTTGAATCTCTTGATCGACAGGTAAATTGATAGAGAACATGTAAATCGTGAACACATTATAAGATATTTTTTTAAATGTAGGTTTTCGGACCACCGCCGCCAGTCACTGAGCAAGTTTATGAATGCACAACGCCCAAACAAGAAAACGAAGTAGTAGAGAGTGAAACTGAACGAGAATTACCCAAATGTAGCCCAGCCATGGACGTCTTCGTCTGGGAGAATCCTTTACATGTATTACAAAACAAAAACAATGCAACGACCCCCGATGAACAGGCTGATTTGGAATATGACGGTGAAATTTTTGAAGACCAAAACGGAGTCAAATCTGTTACACCTATACGTTTATTAAAGCGCACAACACGGTAACGCACTTCGAACAATTTGCATTCTCAGACATAAAATAAGATTTTGTTGTGATAATATTGAAAAGTATAAATACAACTAATATGATTGTAATTACAATGTATTCCATTAACGGAATGAAACGTTATTTTTGAATTAGGTCCGAAGAAGTTTCGGATAGTGATGGGACAGACAGCTGGCCTCAAGAGCCAATTCTTCCCGACACAACGCTAGCAAATTTACCCCAAGAGCATGCTGAGGAAGCCACCGAACTAACGAATCTTATTCCTGCTGGCACCAGTATTGATGATCATCTCGGCACCGATAACTTACCACCTCCAAGTGAATTCGGTGGTGGCAATCCTTTCTTAATGTTCCTGTGTATAACGCTGCTGCTACAGCACAGAGACTTTGTTATACGCAATAAGATGGATTATAATGAAATGGCAATGCATTTTGATAAAATGGTGCGACGCCACAATGTGACCAAGGTGTTGAACCAAGCCAGACAACTATTCGCGGGTTACTTAAAGAGGCATGCTAGTAAGTCATCGGAGTTTGTCAATGTATGAAAAATCTTTATTTTTGGACTTGTGAACAGGTCATAAGATCATTAAAACCTAAAAATAGACGTATTAATAAACTTGTTTGGGTTTGAACATTATTATGATTATGTAGCCAATCGAAAACGAAGCACATGTCTTATAGTTTCTTAAAAATAGAACCTCATAGATTTTTCAGAATAAAAGAATGCAACACAAGTATTTCCAAAGTACATTATTATTTCAGATTAAATTCCAATTGTTTTTACGATTTCATTTGCATTGCTGTAAACGATCGATTATTCCAATTACCGAATAATTTAATTTGTGATAATTATGCTAAATTTATTTTACAAAATATGTACAAAGTCAAATAAAAATGGAGATAAAATATTTATTAAACTAATAACAATTTGTTTCAATTATTTTTTATTTCTTTTTTTACATCAAAAGATTTCATGTTTTATCAATCGCTGTAGAATATTATCATTATAATTATTAAATATTGAATCTTAAGTGTGTAACGAATAATATTGAAACTATAATACATCAATAGACATTTATCGAAGTATCATAAAATTTAGTAATACATTGCTATTCTTTAAATTTTATTTTACGTAAAACAAAATGAAATACTTGCAAATTTACTCGCATAAACTGATTTACAAGAATTTCCATCAGCATGATAAACTATTTACATTAAAATTACTTTATTTGCGCCTATTGCCACCTCCAGCCAGAATAGTAAGAATTCTAACAAAAATATTGATGGTGTCCAAGTAGATTGAAATAGCGCTATAATATGAAGTATATATTTATTAATAAGCAAACTACAACATTAATTTATTATGTACTTCAAATAAACTGATGAACTTACTTGTTAATTGGATCAAAGGGAGCGATGGAATATTGGTTGTATTGTGGTTGAGTCTCAGCTCGTCGTATAATGCGTTGAGTGTCATACAGTAAGAACATGGAAAACAGGATTAAACCACCGTATAGCGCAATAGAATGAAGGCCAGCACCAAAAGCTGTTGTTGGTGGTAAGAACATTGTTCCAATAGAACTGCAAAACACCACTCCAAGACCGATAGCAAGAGGTCCTCCCATATTTAGGAATTTTTCACTAGGAGCCGAGACTGCTACAGCTGACAGACCACCAACCACACCAGCTGTATACCAAGCAGCCCTCATGACAAGAGTACCTCCAAGTAAACACATTGGTGCCAAAACTGCACCAACAACTGCTGTATGCAGTAACCAAGCTGCTTGTTTAGCTCCAAAACCTTCCTTGTATGGTATACTCTGGGCCACCATCCCTGTACCAATCATTGCTGCCATTGTGCCAAATAATGCCATCCAACCTTGTCTCATGACTAGATTCATCATAGCTGGAGATCTCAAGCAAAGTACTGCTGATGCTGCACTTGTGAGTACTGAGGCACCAAAATACATGTATGTTGCTTGAATACGGTCTCTTACGTACTGAGGCCATATTCTGAAATAAACAGATTATTATTACATATATTATTGCAAAACTTTTACCAAATTGTTCTTATGTTATGAAATTTATATTGAAAGATAGTAGAAGGTGCAATCACACAATTTACAAACTTGTTTAACAATTTCATTGTTGTGTACACAATAAATATATTATGCAATCATAAATAATAAATGTTAATCAGTGAACAGATATATAAATTTGCTTACCCAACTTTATCTATGGCACCTGTGCCAGATGAGAGACCCAGACCATAGAAACAAAGTGCTCCAATTCCAAGAGCAGCACCTCCAGCGACAGCTCCTTTTCCAATGTTGAATGCTTCACGAAAAGAAGCATAGTTGATATAAATATATGCAATAGCACATATTGCATGATTCTATGCAAGATTGTTGCTTACTAACAATTTAGCTAAATTAAATAGGTATAAAAAAAAGAAAATTAATTACCTGTTTCTCCAGCTGGAGCCATAACCTGCTCAGTGATACTGGTACGTTTTCTAGTTGACCTTGCAAATGTACTACGTCCATCATTAGATAAAAGTCTAACTGCTTGGAGTTTTGTGAGTTGAGGTGTGGCTGATGGTATTTTGAATAATGTCTTGGCTTGTGGTACAAGTGTACCTCTACACACTTTTAAAAGTAGCATTTTTCAAGTATTGTCTTTTATCAATCACTGTAAAAATGTGAAAAGCATAAATAATTATTAACAGAAATTAAATACTTCATAATTTGATCAAACTTTACGAATAGTAATATGCAGTGTTTGCAATATAGAAAAGAGTTAATACTAGAGGTTACATGTCTAGTTTTTATTTGTTTTGAAACTATTAATTTTTAAACATTCTAATCGTTAAATAAATGAATGTTTAAAAACATATGAAAAAGCTAAAGATTAAAATAATGATTCAGTAGATAAAAAAACCAACGACGTAAATGATACGTAAACAAGTGAAAACTGATGCAATGCGATGAATATCTGACCAATGAATTATTGTCAATTTTTACATGACAACATTCTGTAATTATATATAATATACTTGTGCATAAATTATGCAATTACCTCGAAATGATTATTTCTAAAAAAAACTTTTCAAGATGAGATCGAATACTCTCGAAAGCGACTACGGAACCACTAGACTACTATACTGATACTCTGATATAGTTTTTTTCAACAGTTTCACTGTTCGTCAGCCAAACGTCAGTCAATTACGCATGCGTCATAACACTAGCGCCTCTTGCAAAAGCTTTGAAAACTAAACGTTGATAAAGAATTCAAACATTTCAAACCTAAGTTTGGAACATGACCATGTTGTTTCGACGTTAAGTTCCGCAAAGATCGTGCAGTAAAAGATTAGCGCTTGCTGTTTCGATATATTTATTATATAAAAAAATTAATCAAGTTTTCAAGTAATAAGTGTAAAATCATATCTTCCAATTTATAATACTTAATAATTGAACTAAAAGAATATTATTTTTCCTATTATTTTTGTGGCATTGAAAACAAAAATGATTAAAGAATAGCATGTTAAGGATGAATACAAAAACTTGTTCCAGCGTTATACATTTACTTGTGAATGATTGTCAGAGAAAACTCAAGCAGATTTCACGCGTTTAGTAAAGATAATTTCTTATGTCTAAGAAGTAATAAAAAGTTATCATGTTTTTACAAAACATTACTATCATTTTTAGGAAAAAAGAAAATAATCATAAAATTACTTATAATGAAAAATAGGATGAAAGATGTCAAAGGTAATTCAAGCATATGGAATCTATGATCCGAAAGGGTAGGTGCTTTATTTCTATCGTTTTTATTTTTTGTAAGAAATTTTCATGCTTCAAAAGATGTTCAGTACCTAAAACACAAATCACGAAATACTTTGAATACTATGTATTTCGAAATACTATTATTAAAGACATTATAATATACAATTTAGATCCTGAATTCTTGGATTGATTTAAGCAATTGTTACATTTTACTAACTTTAGAAAATTTCAAAGTATTGTTTAGAGTATTAAAGATAAATTCAAATTTATCTGTAATCATTTGAGTTGATGCACTATCATTCATCAGATATTGTAAGAAACTATTCATAATATGATTGATCGTCAAGCCTAATATTTGCTCTTCTCGCGTGTCTACTCATCAAAATCTAATGAACCATTGATGCGCGCCTTTGCGTCAGCTTCAACTAGGACTGACCTTTTTATATGAAAATAAAAACTATCTTGATGGCATGGAGAAAGCAGAAAACTGTTTCGTGAAAATGAGCTTAAAACTTAAAAAATTACATTTTTTTCTTAAAAAAGTAATTATTGCAACAAACTTTTAGTCGAGTGAAATGATAAAATCATAGTTATTCATCGGCGCACCTATAAAAAAATCTCGACTGTTAATAATTTAAAAATCTACAGTTTTGTTTCAACTAATAGCCTCAAGCAAAGTTGCAAAGTATAAAATAAAATAAGCGTGTATACGTCGCTATACACACACACATATATGCACACACACACACACACACACACACACACACACACACACACACGCACACACACACACACACACACACACACACACACACACATACGCGTACATATAAACAAAAACAAAAACAGAAAGACAACTGTAATCCCACGGACACGTACCGAGGCAAGTAGAAACAGTTGTAACAAGCCAGTTGCAACGAACGTCGCTCCATTTTAGCCACTGATTGCCACAGTAGAAAAGATCAACGTGTCAGTCGTCCGTTTCTACTAACGCGCACCTAATGGTTCTACCAAAATTGTCGTTTAAGCAGAAACTAACGTCACGCTGGTGGCTTTTTCACAGTGAGCAAAGACACCCACACGTGGGCGTGGTCCTTTCAGCCTTTTTTCCACATCAACATATATATATATATATATCACAGCCGCGCTTACGTTTCCTGCTGCCTCACGCGTTCGCGGATATACATTTTCATTGCTTTTCACGCGCTGTTCATATCTTCTTTCATTTATCTTTTCAGCGAGAGCAAACTCGGAATCGGAACAGTCAATTTAATTCCAAGATTAAGAAGCCGCTTGAAAAAGTTTTTGTCTTGTTTGTTTCTTTTCGAAAGTGTAACTTGTTTGGAGCTTTTTTTCGTCGAGGTTTTCTGCATTACTTGCTTTCACGAATTGTTAGTTTTTTATTGCCGTCGTCAATAAAAAAGAGCGAACGATGGTCGAAAATCTCGAACGGCTCTTTTACGCGTAAAAAAATACTTTGAAACACAAATCGGACTGGAATAAAAAACTAAAAAAAATTGATTTTCGATCAAATTGATGAATTACTCTCTACAATTACACTTTTGCGAAACGAGGGCGTAGCAGGCGCACAGTCAAAAGTCAATTAAGCCTGAGATATGTTGGAAAGATTCTCGACGAAAGCGTACCAAGTTCAAAGTATTTGCAATTAAAGCTCGCCGCGCACGAGAAGATAGCGATCCTGGAGTGAAAATCCATCGAAATCAGTTGAGCCTCTTAGCGGAACAAACTGTCTCCGAGTGAACTTGGCGTTTCGGGGGGATCGTTAATGAAGTATTGAAGCGGAACATTAATAGGTGCGCACGCGTCTCTCCTTCTTCCGCTCGTCGAGAGAGAGAGTGTGTGTGTGAGCGCGAGCGGAGGCGAGAATGCAGACAGAGAGAGAGAGAGAGAGAGAGAGAGAGAGAGAGAGTGAGATAGATAGAGAGAGAGTGAGAGAGAGAGAGTGAGAGAGTGAGAGAGAGTGAGAGAGAGAGTGAGAGAGTGAGAGAGAGAGTGAGAGAGTGAGAGAGAGAGTGAGAGAGTGAGAGAGATTGAGAGAGAGAGAGTGAGAGAGAGAGAGATAGAGAAGAGAATCGAGTTAGTACCGCGTGCGCGTGCCAGCGATGAGATTTGTCATTATCGTGGCGGCGCTTATTCACCTGTCAGCTGCCGGCGCCGCTGGCGCGTCGGTTGGCAGGTGTTGCCTGAAAGGTGAAATTCTTGTGCTAAACGACGCCGAATTGAAGTGCCGTCGACCAACGAACAATCAGCTGCAACAGCGCCGGCTTTTTGACGCCTCGCGAGACGTGAGTCTATTTTAGAAGTTCCGACTATTCTATTTTCACGTGTTCGTAAAGGCGCCGCGTGGTGCGACGCATATAGGCGCGTATCAAATTTGAAATTTATCTGTTATTTCTGCGGATCCTACGCGTGTCAGTTTTATAATTATCGCGGATTTTATGTAAAAAAAAAATGAATGAAACAAACCAGACAAACCAGCTCGAGGAGCGCAAGGCGCTTCCCGCCGAGCCAAGCCGAAGTCAAACGAAAAGCACCTAACGCAGTAATTAAACTCTTGGCGAATAAAACTTGCTGTTTCTTCAAGGACCAGGCAAATGGACTGCCTCGCTGCGGCAAGCACGGTCACCTGCGGCAAATCCTGGTCGACGACGTGGCACTGAACGAAGTGGCAGCAGATGCGTGCTTAGAGTTATTCCACGACCGGGCGTCGAGTCTGAGTTTCCCAGTGGTCGTACATTGTTGGCCGCAGCCGCCGCCGCCAACGATCAGGCGGATCCAGCACTCGCGGGTCATTCTGCAAGCGGGTTCGAGGTCGGCGCCGAGGATCGTCCAGCTGCGCAAGTGCTGCCCCGGGAGTGCGGCCTACGACCCCGAGCGCAAGCTCTGCTACGAGGCGAGCGGCGCGGATTTCCGGGCGCTCTTCGACAGGCTGCCCTCGCTAGACTTTGTCGATGTTCACGTGCACGGGCCGCCCCGCTGCCACGGCGCCGTACTCGCCGACTTCAGGGTCGAGCAGCTTTATCATTCCGGCACAGACACCACCAGCGTGATCACCGTAAGCCTCACTTTCACTCTGCTCTCGCTGGCCTGCTGAACCCAGCTCGAGATTGCTTATCAGCTGCTGTTGCCGCGGTCAAGTAATGCACGCCGAAGCGAGCGATATAACTATTAATCGCGAATTTATTCGGCTGATATTATTCACGGGAGCGAAAGCGGGTCGATTTTATTATCGGTCCGTCGTTCGATTCGCGTACGAAATTAATCGCCCGATTCATTTGTGCGAATGCTTTGTCGAATTTTTCGCGCATCGAATGAAAAATTCGACAAAGCCGCGAATAATTTAGATTTTTCTCGCGCAACCGTTATTCATTGTCAAGGCAATCGAACGGCAATGGAGAGCAGTATTTTGTCTGGCCGCGCCCCGCTTTCGCTAGAGAGATCCGTTGAAAAGTGCGGCTCTCGCGAGCTTCGGCGAAAGGCGCGGGCGTTAATAACGCAGAGCTGCGCGGAAAATCGGCTCGAAAGCTGCCCGAAAATAGAAAGGACGCGTGTGGCACAGAGAACGGGATGAAAATGTTGGTTTGGTTGCAAAACAGATCGGCATAACACAGAGGGGATCACTGGTGAACGTAACGCTCAGCGCGGACACAAGCTGCTTGGACAGTCACGGCGACCAGCTGACGGTGAGGCTGTGCCGCGAATCGGACTACTGCGAGGAGAACGTCTGCATAAGGAAATGCTGCGACGAGGGCGTGGAAGAAAAGAGGTGTGCAGCTGCGGCTTCCACTTTAGAAAACTTCAGCTACGCGCTCGCCAATATTAAAAGTTTGTTTCGTTTACCCATCTCCGTGGCTTCGGTCGCGTTATGAGATTTTTCTTTTCGCCAATTTTTCTCCCCCGTAATGAACGCAAAGCTACGCACGCATAATGTTCTTACGTTCTTGCAGATTATGGATTGCTCATGGGCATTCCCTGCGAGCTAGTTTATGATCCGGACGAGGAAATCGAAACTTGGTGGCTGGACGGCATGGGAAATGTCAACATGGAAGACAACGAAGATTCTTTCGTAGAGATTTTTACTCACATGAATTCTTGCCTAGAATACGAACGGGACGAGAGAGGGTTCAGTCCCATGCTATGCCTTCCGGAAGATGCAGTGGACCACACACCCCCAGAAAAGTATGCGCGCGCGCGTTTATTTTCATATAATTATAATTTTGCTGGAGAAAGCGTCGTACTTTCAAAGGCAACTTACGGGATCGTATATACGGGTCGACGAGATTCAACTTTCATCGGCAAAAAGTAGATCGATCTCAAACGCGCGCAACTTTTAAGGGCCTGAACTCGTAAAAAAGTTAGGGGGATCTGTCTACAATCATTAGCGATTCCTCGCCGAGTCGGCGAAAAACTGAAACATCGCTGCAGCGTGTTTGCTCGAGAAATGAAATGCTTATTATTCGCAGGTGGACAATAGGCGGGAGTTTGCAGACAATAAGCTGCTTCTTCCTGCTTCTAACGTTCACGGTTTACTGCTGCCTGCCGACGTTGCAAAACCTACACGGCAAAACGTTGATGTGCCACGTGGCGAGTCTGTGCGTCGCTTACGCAATTTTGGCCGTCACCGAGTTCACCACCAATTCGTTCGGCATCTGGGAGGACGGCATTCACGACGTCGCGTGCATAGTCATGGGTGCGCGCGCGTTCACATTTTAAAACTTCACCGAGGAGACGTCGATTCATTTCATCCTTTTATTTATTTATTTATTTATCTCCTTTTTCGCAGGTTACGTACTGCTATTGGCCTTTCTTTCCGCATTTTTCTGGCTTAACGTCATGTGTTTCGACATCTGGTGGACCTTTCTGTACGTTAGCATGCACATTTTTGATCTGCAAGAAACTGAGGAATACAATGCTCTTTGGCTCTCGACGATTCCGCTGTTTGTATGTTCAAACTCTGCTTGTAAACACCCGTCGGAAATAGCTCCCCCCAACACGTGCTCCTATACACGCGCGCGTGCACGCATACAAACACAGGGAAAAGAGAGAGAGAGAGAGAGAGAGAGAGAGAGAGAGAGAGAGAGCGCGCGCAAGTTTTTCAGTTGCACATACGCACGTCATTAAAACGCGAGATGCGCTGCAGCCGGCCTGAATTGCAAACAATGCCCGCGCGTAACTTTTTCCTTTATTTTTCTCTTGTTTGTTTCTTTTCTCGCTTGCAGTAGCATCAGGGAGGCTAAGCGCCACCGACAGACAAGCAGGTTCTTGGCCTACTGCGCATACGCCTGGGGATCCGCGCTCTGCCTCGTCGTCCTCTTGCTTAGCCTTGATCTCGCTGGCGCTGTGAAGGATGTCGTCGGCAAACAGAGATGCTGGCTCGAGCGTAAGATACGTTCGATAATAATTCGTTAACGGCGATCCCGTCGCAATTAGCTTAATTGACGCGCTACCTGTTCAGCGTATATATATATATATATATATATATATATATATATATGTAATTTCGATCTCGCGCTCACTCGTTTTTAATCATTCCACGCTGGCAATTGCACCGTTATAGAATTTTCGAAATTTCTGCTTGGCGATAATTGGAACGTACGGAGTCAATAAAAGCGATTACACTGAAATCCACAGAGCACGGTCTGTCGAGCAAGCGAGAGAGAGAGAGAGGAAAAAAGAGAGACTGTATCGGAAGCGAAAAAAAAGAAATTTCTTTTTTCATTTCGTTGATAATCCTTTTAGCGAAACAAGTGACCGAGATGTCCGCTGAAAATGAATGTTGTTGTTTTTTTTTTTTTTGAAAGTCCGCGCGCGCTCCATTGATTCGTTTGGGCTTGTCCTTTAAGCTAACCGAATTGCCGTCAATGAAAGTACAATCAGCGTCGCTTTTCTCGCCGATGCGACTAATCTAGATTAGCTTTGAGCCTCGGCCGAATTCGGATGGGAGGGCTGGTGGGGGGGAATTCAATTAGAAATCGCGGAGCTTAAAGGTTGCCGGCCGATATCTGGCGGGCTTTAATTACAACGTCGGCAGAAGCGGCGGAGAGTCGCGATCGATTGTGTCCCGCATGCCGACGCCTCAGCGCCCATTATTATGACTCATTAGGCTCGCGAGAATGCCGGTCATTAGTCTGTCGATTCGCGCACGAAAACTAATTGAATTCTCAAAGCAAAGTATCGTCGCGGGTGGCGCGCGCCAGATATACGCGCCGGCCGGGCATCGGGGCAGTCGGGGCGGTGAAGAGGGGGGGGGGGGGCGCTAAATCAGCGTCGCGCAAGCTCGACTTGTCAGTGACGACGAATGCGCGCGGCGAGCTTTTCGAGTGCGCTCAGCCGACATAAACTTTCTGCATGCATAAGCCCTTTAAGATACAGCCGCGGCGAATTGATTTTTCGCTTTCTGCTGCGCGGCCCCGTCTGCCTCCGCGTCGCCCGCTGCCGAAGCTTTTATAACAAGTCGTCGCGGCTTTGAATAATTCATCCTTCTCTGCGCCTTGTCCGCCTCACGCCGCCTCCACAGAACACTCCACAGTACACGTCGTCTTCTTCTTGCTGCCGGTCAATCTGACGGTGGTAGCAAATCTGGCCTTCTTCGTCGTGACCGCGCGGAGGTGCAGCAAGGTGAAGGCAGAAATCAGTCGCGTCATGGCCAACGATAAGTCTGCCAAGAACTTCCGATCCGACAGGTCCAGGTGACTATACGCGTTGCGCTGGCAGCTGCGATTGGCCGATTTGATTGGCCATCAATTCGTCTTTCAGGCTGATGATGAACGCGAAGCTGTTCGTGGTGATGGGCATCCCTTATCTGTTCGAGAACCTCGAGGCGCTCCTGGAGCACTACAATCTGATGCCTGACTGGTCGAGAGAGGTGCTGTACGCGGTGGACGTGATCACGTCTCTGCAAGGGGTCTGGATCTTCATCCTGTTCGTACTGAAGAGCAAGGTGTACGAGGCGTTGTGCAGGCGCGTCAGTTCGAGTCCGGCCATGCACAAGAGCAGGACAGGCAACACGCTGTCGGTGAACAACAACGCCAATCAACTGCGGCTTCGCAGCAGCGCGAGCAACACTTCCGTAACCTCGTGCTACCTCGCGAACTAGCGCGAGTGGTCGCCTGGACTAGAGGCGCGACCTGCGATCGTGGGAGGCTCTCCCGCCGAATCGTTGTATAATTTAACGCTGAGTCTCCTGCTCGAAAGGAGAGACTACTCTTGCGCCTTGTTTTTGACACCTCTCTTCCCTTGTTCTTCCTTCGCTGCGTTGCTTCTCGTTAATTATCTCGGTTGTGCAACGCTTCTTTCTTCGACGACGACGAGACGAGGCTAATGGATTTCTCTGAGAGTTAATTCTTTACTGGAAAGGCGAAGAGGCGCCGGGGTATGGGCTTTGCAACGCTATCCCTTTTGCCGTTGCCTCTGTCTCAGGAAGCGTGACGCAAACGCGCGAACGGCCATTGTGATGCGTGTCGATTGGAAAAGCCGTGTTCTATATGAATACTGAAGCTTGTACACTGTGTGGAATCAAATAAATGAGGTACTTTTCGACATATAAGGATAAAAACACATACTGTTTATTTTCAAATGTCTCTGCCTTATACTCATAATACTATTTATATCAAATTGGTTTTTTCATACAAAGACTCCGTAGAAAGAGTACACACAGCTATAAATATAATTCTCACGGAAAGTGCGGCAGCGCGCGTTTCAATTGCAAGCGCGAAGTGCTGAAAATGTAAATTCCGAAAATGAATAAGAATCTTATTTCAAGTACTTGGTGTCCCGGGCGCAAGTATGAAACTAAGTCTGAGTGTAGTCTTGGAAATGATGAAAGCCGTTAATAAAGACTAATTCTAAAGTTTAATAATGGTGTTTCGGTCGGTGCATTTGCGCGAATTCCTGCCGAATTAACTTTAATTAGACTCAATTTCGCATTCAAATAGACGGACCTGCCTTCGACTTCCGAAGCCTTTGATGACGGCCGGCCGTTCGCGTTATAATTATTGCACTCTCTCTCTCGAAGCTAAAAGTCATTGCGAATTTATTACACACACGCGTACCAGCCGAGGACGGGCGAAGCTCCTTGCCGCACACTTACGCATTAATCGAGTAAAGCTAATTAAGTAAACCGACGTGACAATCGTTAAGAATAAAATCGCCGGCTGCAGCCCGAGTGTGGGGCGTTGCGTGCGTTCCGGGCGTGCGTTCCGGGCGTGCAGCGCTGCGCCTACCTCGGGCGCTAAAAACAACGGAGACGTGGGCGCGACGAGGGCGAACCACGCTCTCTCATCTAGACAGGCTTGCAGAGGCGCTACGTCTAAAAATAACGGGCTACCGCGTATTTACAGGGCGCGACGAAGCGCGGCGCCGAGCGGCCGAGGAGAGGCGCGCGCGAAAGCGCCGAGCGACGAGGAGGCTAAACCAAGTCCCAGTAATAAATAAATATATTCGGCCTTACGTTCGACTGACGCTTTCGCGCCTCGACGATCCGCCCGCCTATCTACAGGGAGTGCACGTATCTGCCGGAAGAGGGAGGGGGCCGGAGGAAAGCCGGCGCTCGTCGAGTCAATCGGACCGAGTAGCCTCGGATCCGAGTGCGCGCGGCATCCTTCTCCCGCGCTCTCTCCCGGCGAACGCGAGGCGAATTTTCAAATTCGACGAGATCCGCGGGCGCACGGGCCACGGCGCCGATGCAAAGCCGAACGGAAACGCAGTCCGATCGCGCGGGAATATGGAAGGCGTAATCGACGTCGCGCTAGACAGCGGAAATACGTGGGAGACTGGAGACGATCCACAGGGCGGGGAGAGAGAGAAAGAGAGAGAGAGCGCTATCGGTGGTTGCGGTTGTTCTCGTGGTTTGCCAGGTGGTTGTGGATGGCGTTGGCGATGCTGGAGACGTGCTCGATGGACGCGGGCACAGCGGCGGTCTCCTCCAGGTCAGGCAGCTCGTTGATAATGGAGATGTCGCGGATGGAGGGCCGCCGCGTTCGCCAACTGTGCTCGGGCACGTGCACCACCGGCGCCAGGGTCTTGGTCAGCAGCTTGGGACCGCTGATCATGATGAGGATGGCGCCCGTGGGCGCGGTCAGCAGGATCGACAGCACGCACATCATGAGCACGGTGCCGGCGTGCTCCGCGGCCTCGGGGTCCTCGTGGGCCTGGTGCGTGGCCACGTACAGCGTGGCCGGTCCCAGCGCCGCCTGCACCGTCGCCTTGGCCATGCACGCGATCGAGATGAACATCTTCTCCTTGAGGTTCAGCCGCGAGCCGATGCCCACTAGCATCGTCACCAGGATGCGCAGGATTATGCCCGCCATCAGGCAAGCGATGCCGATGTACACGCTGCTGCCGTTCATCTCCCGCATCACTATCTGCGTGCCCGTCAGGCTGAACAGGATCGGCTCGAAGATCATCCAGAAGATCTCGAAGGACGTGGCCACGGGATTCTGCCGAATGGTCAAATATTCATCATTTCACAGTGGCGGCGGATCGGCAGCGCGCGGAGACAAATATTGGATTTAACGGGGGCGGAAAGCTTCGCACGGCGCGCGTTGCGTGCATTTCACCCCGTCGTGCATCTTTTATCGTTGCGCCGCGCTCGCCTCCCATTCTCGCGGGCAGCGTCAAAAATATTCAATATTTTCATTGCCGTTGTAAAAAAGAGCTTGTAAAATACAACCTTAAAAGTCGCGCGCGTATCGCAAATGAAAAATCCGACGATAATCCCAAAGGACGCGTTAAATTTGATTCGAGCAGCGCGATAAAAACCCGAGCGGCGCTTGCAAGTCTTTGAATCGCATTAAAATGACGCCCGAATCGCTGTCGCTCGAGCGAGAAGGCGCTCGGAAAAGAAAACACGCACGCACGCGCGCCGCGTAAATCGAAAAGCACCGCTCACGGCCTTCTACGCGCGTCACGGCGCAGGCGAGCTCACATCGTCGACCTCCCATCCGTCTTTCTGCCACATGTAAGAGCTGATAAAGGCCGCGGCGACAACGGCCAGCGGTCCCGCGCCTCCGAGGTTTATCTTCTCGCTGCCGAAGATGGCCAGCATCCCTCCACCCAGTAGCATCAGTACCCTCATCGGCACCAGGAATGGCTGTAAATATAGGCATTAAGGGTTTTTTTTTTATCTCGCCTCAAATTGCTCCTTTACGAGTAATCCGTTGGCGTATAAATTTACGCGCGGAAGCTTGCTGTATACTAAAAAAAACAAAAAAGAAAACGTTTGTTCGTAAATCGTTTGGAAAAAAAAACATTGTCCATGTCGTAATTTCTATAGGGCTCCGGAAGCGATGTGATTAAATCCACGCGAGTGACAAGAAATTATTACATTTTTTTCCCTTCAAAACCGAATCTTCGCTCACGTCGATGAGCATAAATATACATGGACATGCTCACGGCTGTGCGCACACACATGCATATCAATTCGTACACCGTCTGCACATTTCATTCGCGGGTATCAAGGTAAAACCAATATATTCTACGTCTTCATGGTGAATATAAATTCATTCTGTTCTCCCTCTCTCTCTCTCTCTCTCTCGTTCGCTGAGACTCCCCGATGCTTCACGAGTATTTTTTCCCGAAGCAACGTTTCCGATAAATTCGCGCGCCACTGCGAAATGAACATTTGAATGAAATGAAATGAAAATCTCACCCGATCGGATAAAATATCGCGCGACCCACATGTTTTTGGAATCAAGCCACGCGAGAAAAAGTAAAAAACTTCGACGTACGATCTGGAGAAAAAAAAAAGAAAAAAAAAGAAGTTTCTTTTTTCCTCGTTCGTCCAAGTTTTCAGCTATTTGTACTTACGTCTCCTTTCTCCGGCACGTATCTGGCGAGAATTCCCCACAGTACGCCAAATCCAATTCCTCCAAAGATGGCGATGGGTCCTTGCAGTATTTGATACCAAATCGGATCCTCGGAAAACATGACGCTCTGAATGATACCGTAGCCGGCGACCGAGGCGGCATCGTCTATGCCGGCGATCGCTATGATCAGCGTGGGTATGCCCTGCCGAGTGAGAAAAGTCGTGATCACGATGCCTCGCGCGAGTTCGCCTCGTCACGCTGTGCAAAGTTGGCGACGGGAAACTGGCCTCTGCGCGACGTATTCCATTAAACAATAACAATGCGCAAAGCAACGTCGACACGAGATTCGACTGTGCCGCTGGTGGCCGGGCTCGTTCTCCGAGCCTCACGCCCGGTCTGTAATATACATGCACAATGTGCCGCATGTAGTTTCGGCGAATGAGCGAAGCGCCCAAGTTGGCCCAGCGGCCGTGTGCACGCGAGCGAGCGCGCAGCCCAATTCCCAGTCGATTATGCGCGAGCGAGTTTGCGGCAAAAGCGGCAGTGGCGGCGGCGGCGGCGGCGACGGCGGCGACGGCTGCCTGGCGGAAGGCCTCTCAATTGGACGCTAATTCTCGCGCAGGCGGCCGCCGCGCGCCGAAGCGGCTCGTCCGCTCTCGACGAACACGAAACTTTGGCCGCGCTCACCTTGGCGACGCCGTAGCCACGGCCACGCAAGCGGAACAGACACGGCACCACCACCGCCGGCGACACCGCCGCGATTATGCAACCCAGCAGCAGGCCCCACATCAGCGGCAGACCCATGAAGAAGTACGTCGATGCTGCCACCACGCCTGCCTCCACTGTCCACGGCACCAGACCGATCTTCGGCACCGTTATCTTCATCGCCTTCATAGCCTTCGGGTCCAGATCCAAGCCGGCTCGCGTAAGAATGATCACCAGGGCGATTTTTCTGCAAAAGTAAGACGATCGCTCGTAATGCTCTTGCCCTTCTCTGCCTTTTCGACAATCGGCACCGATGGAAAAACAAAATCATATCCCGGCGTTGCACGGACGCGCGACGCGACTATAGATCGCGCGAGAGATCGGCATGTGGCGCGCACACGTTGTCTCGCTTTGCGAAATGCGCGCCGCGCGTCTGTTTCGCTTTTCCTGGGTAACGAGTCGCTTTTATTTTCGTGGCTCTATTAATTGAAGGCGACGGCAGACGCTTGCCATTGTCGGCCGACGGTATTTGCGTCGGTTGCGTAACGCGCAGCGATCGTCCGAGCAGCGAGACGACGTGGGCATCGCGAAGCGCAGGTGGCCGCGCGTGTTTTCGTTGCCGCGCATCGGGCCAGAGTGGCCGTCTCCGCGTTGACGCGGAGCGAGGAGGCGCTAACAGGAGACGTGCGCGTTGACGTGCCCTCGTTAACGGGCAAGGTAAGCATCGCGGCGCGCGCGCGCGCGTCACGAGGAAGAGGAGGCGAGAGGAAAAGAAACGGAGGAAAACAGGCGCGCCGACAGTTTGCTCTGGCGTTCACATGACCGGCGCTACGCCACACGTGACTGCGGCCCGCGATTCAATAATCGGCGCAATTGGCTAAGCGCGCGCGCGGCTCTTTCTCCTTATCCACTCTCTTATCGGTCCTTCGGGCCGCGGGCGTGAATCATCGCCGCGAGTCATGTGATTCCGCGCTCAAGGCAAGAGCCGCGCAGGAGATGTCACGAGTGCTGGCGCTCCGTCACGTGCCGTCCCCCCTGTCAAACATTAACAGGTCGATATGTGTCTCTTCGGCCGCTTCTTCGCTCCGCCGCCGCAGCGTCTCGTCAATTCATCACGCTCGCGCCGACGACGGCGCGAATTAGGATTATTAGCTCATTATTGTTATTGCCCGCGAGCGCGTGATTAGGATCGTCGGCTCTGCGCGCTGACGGCTCGTCGCTCCGTTCCGCGTCGGGCCTCCGGCCGCGGAGGCGGAAGAGCCCTCGCCAGCCCAAGCGAGAGCTGGCGCGCAGCCTCCGATCGCTAACAGATGGACGCGCCGAGGAAAAGCTCCGCGCCGCGGCCAAGTTTCCGCCGATAAAAGCCCGCGGCGGCGATTAGGCGCGCGGTCGCGTTTGAACATTCCAATGGAGCGCAGGTCGTGCGCGGAGAAGAGAGAAAACAAAGAAAAGGGGAGAGCGAGAGAGGAGCAGAAGAAGCGTCGATCAATTGTCTCGGTGCGTTGCCACTGATGTTGTCGCGAGCGCGCTCGCCTCATGTGACTCTCGTGCATTCATCAATCTTGACATTCGAAATGGGTCGAGAACAACGGAGCGCGCTCCGGGCGCGATCGTGCAAAAAGAAAATGGATTGTTTGACGAAACGCCAGCGAAAGGGGCGCGCGTCAAGCCGTCGCGCGCCTATTGAATAATTCAGCGCGGCACGCCGATTAAAAGTTATCGACCTACTGGCGTTCACGCTCAATAAGCCTGTTGAAAGGAGAATCTTGAAATCCGCCTCATGTGACCAGCGCAAACAAGAGCGCTAATTGCCGAGAGCGCGCGAGCGCCGATCAGAATCCCACTTGTTGCGCGCGCGACAGAGAGAGAGAGAGAGAGAGAGAGAGAGAGAGCGAGAAAGCCAGAGAGGCCGAAAGGAAATTCGTGGACTCTTCTGACCGGGATTCCCGAATCGCGATCGCGCGAGCCTCGTCGATTACGCGTGCGCGAGGGAACCGAATTGACCTACGAGCGCCGAACACGTGGAGCGCGTCGCGTCTCGGCGAACGCTTCTTCGAGCCCCGATCCGCGACTCGTTGTGGTCCTAGCTGTGGTAGTTTTCACGCGGTACCGGCGCGCTCGCGCGCGACGAATCTCGCATCTGTTAGACTCACGGAATTCCATTGGCGCGCTCCAGCGAGGCGTCGCGGTGTCTCCAAGCTTCGCTCTCGCTCCTCTTCTTCTTCTTTTGCTTTCTTTGTTTCCCGTCGAGCTTTATCGGCTTCGCCAATCTCGTGACACACACTCGCGCGTAACTTTTTTTTCCACTCAGCGATATTTTCGATGGTCATATGACTGCCTCTTCGCTTCTTTATCTGCTTAATCGTCGTCACGTGAGTGAAGCGAGAGACGCGAGTGCGAATCGCTCGATTCACAAGCGAAACGAGCGTCGATACGTCGCCCCGCGTGCACGGCTTTCTTATTATTTCCTCTCTCTCGGACGACGCGACAGTGTACAAGACGAGGCGATACCTTGTTGAAGAACTTGAAAACGCGCCAAGCGCCGCTCGCACGTGTCTTTATACCTTCGAGCTCATCAATAATGTTAATGTCGAGGTCTCTGCAGTCTTTAACTTTCTCGGGGCGCAATGGCAGCTTAATATTCCGCCAGCGAGCTCTAGTCTTACATGTTTGCCACGATGAAATTCGAACTGCGCCGTCAACTAATTACCTCGCTATTAATAGAGTTCGATGGGAACGCTCGCGATTGGAGTAGGCGAGGAGGCCTGGCCATTGCGCGAACGAGTTTCGGCTGCGTCGCGAGAAGGTCGCGCGCGCTCGGCTCTCGTCGGGACGAATTTTCGCGATCGGCCGTGGGAATTTTCCGCTGTTCGCGGGGTTTCGGGCGTTTCGCTGCCCTCGCACGGATATGGACGATCGAGAGCCAAGTCGGCTCCCGGCGCGGCGACGCACCTGAGATCGGAGAGGACGGTGTCGTATCTGGGATCGATCTGCACGATGTCCAGATTCTTCATGAGTATGCCGGTGAGCAGCATGCCGATGAGCGCGGGCAGGTTGGCCAACGACACTAGCCAGCCGGCGAAGTGAGCCGCGATGGCCAGGCAGGCGATGGCGAAGAGGGGCCCGCCGGGCTTGGCGTCGTCGCCGATCACACTGTAGACCAGGCCCCATGCGAGCAGTCCGAGCAGCAGCAGGCACAGTATCCGCGCGAACTTGCGGTAGCTCGGGCAGAAGGGCTGCGGGCAGGCGCGCCGCCAGCCCCGCGGCTCCCACGAGTCGGCGTCCCCGCGGCCGTGACAGCGGCTACAGAACAGGTACAGCCAGGAGCTGAAATCCGAGGTCAGCGTAGACGATGAGTGCCCGTGGCGAGATCCGGCGTACATCGCGCTCTCGCGCGGCGCCGATGGGTTTCCGAGGCACGCGACAAGCTTTCGGGATATCGATCGTTCGACTGTCCGCGACTCGCATGCCGATCCGCGCGCCGGCTTATAGACCACTGCGCGAACTTATAGACCCGCACTAAGAGCTACGCGACACTGCGTCCCGCGGCGACTCGTTATATATTTTTCATTGGAGTTTTAAAGCTACCGGGAGAGAGAGAGAGTGATCTTCCAGGGGTTTCCGTTTTGAAGAAGCGAGATATCGAGTGCGTGCGTGCCATGGCGTGTGTGCATAGCTTACCTGCATTTCGAGGGCTGAGCCTTTCTATCGAGCCTGAAATCGATAATCGTTAATATGGATATGGTGATCGATGTGTAACAGCGGTCTTTACGATTTTATGTCATTTATCAGCACAGAACAGATGTTGCCGCGATTACCCTTCCGTACAATCGAGCGATGTCTTTTTTCGGAAATCGAAAGCGATGTTCGATTTCCGTTGCTTTGTTATACAACAAATCGATCAGCAACAGCATCTGTTTTGTAATCAAGTGAGAAAAAAAAACGTTTACCGAGAAAATTCCATTTCCGCACTAATAATACGGATCGTTTTTATCCAGTACGTGCTCGCGAGGTAAAATTGAAGCTCGCGGACGAATCTTCGCACGATCCGACGCGCTTGGATGGTGCGTGCATACTAATTAAACGCCTTGGGCTCTCTTACCGCTCGATTGCTGCTCGCGGCTTGAATTTTTCGTGACGCTATATAATCAAAATTGGTATGACCGATTGGACGCTTCGTCTCGCGATAATTTTCCTGCATTCGCTACCAATTTCCTTCTCGTAAACGGATACTTATTACGTAAATTGACGTGGTTTGATTAACGAGCCGTTGACAGTCGAATGCTAATTAGATGCAGGCAACGCGCGACAAATCTTTTTTTTCCCGGTCGAAAAATTGCAGATCGCAATCGCATCGCGTTTTATCGGATTAATTACATCGATAGGCGTTGGGCGTTCGCGAGTCTTTGTTTTTTTTTCTTGCCGTCGCTAAACGATCACGAGTTCCTTGCTCACTGTTTACATTGCGAATCGAACGCACGAGGAAGAAATATCGCGACGCGCGCGACATTTCCACAAGTGTGCTAAAAAAAAAGGAAAAAAAAGTAATGCTAACGCAACGTGCAGTGGATTCTTATCGATACGAGAGAGTTACGTGAAAGAGAGATACGGTAGCGGTTATAGTAATTACACGTAACTCGACATACGCGAGATAATCAGTTATTGCTACAAGAACACTCGTAAAAGCGAAAAACAGCGCGCCGACGACCTCGCGGGAAATGCCCACTCGTTATCTCGCCGAAGAGTGCATTTCTTCTATCCATCGACTGCGAGGACGGGCGCGAGTATGAACGTTCGAATTCGCGCAGTGTCACGTACGAGAGATAGAGGCGAGCCGCGCGGGTAGAGCTGCACAAAAATATCGCAGCGGCTAGCAACAACAACAAATGACAGAGAGAGAGAGAGAGAGAATAAGAGAGAGAGAGAGAGAGAGAGAGAGAGAGAGAGAGAGAGAGAGAGAGAGAGAGAGAGAGGCCGCCGCGCTGCGACGAATCAGAGCTAAACGAAACATCACGAGCGTCTATTTACCGAGCAGCCGAGCTGTTAGCCGTCAATTGGCGCGCTCGAGAGCGCAAAACGGCGGCTGCTCGGCGAAAAGGGAAGCGAGGCAGGAACAGAGGCGCGGAGAACGGCACTCACCGCTCGAGCTCGTCCGTGTACTCGACCTTGTCCCTGATGGAGCTGGACAGGCTGTAGGCGCTCTTCTTGCGGGCCAGCGCGTGCGGGTGCTTGCCGTTCTCCATGTCGAACTTGTGCAGGTTCTCGGCGCTGCCGGGCCGGCTGGGCTGCAGGATCGAACGCTTGCGCTCGGGCTCCACGGACGAGGAGATGCTGACGCGGCGCTGGTGATCGAAGGCCGGGTTGTCGAGGCCCGGGTCGCTGATGGACACGCGCCGGTGCTTGTTGCTCGCCAGCTCGTCGCTCATTGTCGTCTGCTCGTCAGTTGCCGAGTCCGACCCGCTTGCATCCTCGCGCTCGCCGCACTGGCGTGCCGCGCGGGATCGGTCCGCGGCGCGCGACCAGTTCGCGCGCGCGAGCGCAAGTGGGGGCCGCGCGCTTCCGAGCGCCCTTCTACGAGCGCGGCGTCGGGCCCCGCGCCGCGCACGGGCACCGCGAGCGCGTGACCGCGCTCGACGACCGACTAATTGCCGTGAAAACAGATAAGTGCCGAGCCGCCGCAGCTAATACGCCAGACGATCAGTGCAACTGGATCGCGCAGCGCGCACGCGCGCCGCCGAGCTTTCGTCCGTTACCGAGCGCGTGGCACCGATCGCTTTCGCTTCTCTCTCTCTCTCTCTCTCCGTCGTTCCTTTGATCTCCACGCGCGACTCCCATTCACGCGGGAATGACTCCTCGACGGAAAATCACCCGATCGCAATCGCGCCAAGCTTTCGCGATCGAGACGCCGCGCGACCGGTAGGCGAAAAACGATCGGCGTCATTCTCCGCGGGGGTAATAATTGCACGACTTGTCGAAAGCTGCATACCTGTGAACGGAAGAGAGAGAGATTATTATTTTATACTTTATTTGATTGTGCTAAGCTTCATTCGAACGACAATGCACTCTATGTACAAAAGTGTGAATGGGATACAAGATTGATTTCGGTAAATTATGTAAACAATCATGGTCGTTTAAATATAAAGGTATTAACAATTTAAACATAAACAATGTGTATAGCCGATAACTTATTTAAATTAAGTCCTATCGTAGTATCACAATACAGTATTCCTCAAAACCAGATATCGATTTATTTAAAACTAGGTTAACGTCAAAGATTATCAATCAATTCTTTGAAAGCTCGCTAAGTAATAATAAGATATGAAATAAAATTAATTAGATGCAATATGTAGATAAAATATAAAGACGTACAATATAATTCAATTGAGACAATGTAATAATTTAATAACACCCACTAACATCACACTTGCCGTTTTCCAGGTAATAACAAAATGAGGATTTCAACAATTCAATTGAAAGTTTGATTCTAATCGAATACGGTAGCATGTTTCAGAATTTTATAGCTTGTATGCTCAAGGACTTCCGGTATGTAATAGCGTTTGTTTTAGGAAGGCTGAGAGAGAAAGAGAGAGAAAGAGAGAGAAAGAGAAAGAGAAACCTCCGAAAGCCAGGGCGATACAAGTATTTGGGCGACGATAATGAGAACGACAAAGGCGCGCGCGGCATGCCGGAGCACGCGTTGCGCAACGCCTGTGACCTTTGCCAGTTACGCGCGCACCTACAACGCGCTCATTCAGCGGCGCCCGGCCACGTTTTCACGCCTATACGGCTAATCAAAGAGCCAATGCCAGCGCGCGAACGCTCATTTTTTGCCGGCCTTCGCGATCCGGAGAGCCGAGCGACAGGACGCGTGTGCGCGCGGCGCACACGTGCCCCGCCGACGTTTTGCTTCTTTTCCCGTCGCGCTTCTGCCGCCGGCCGCGTTATCCGCGCGCGACTGCTGCAATTACAGCGACGTCACCTCGGACGAAGAAAACGGCACGCGCTCGTCCGCTGCGGCGGTGGGAAATCCGCGTGGAAGCTGGAATCGGCGAGCGTCGTCGAGAGCACAGCCGCCTCCAACACCTGTTGCCAAGTTTAACGAAAAGTCTACCCTCCTGGCTGCGCTCGCGCGCGGCAAATCGACGGGTGTGGCGGATTGCTTCTCGCGCGGTGGCGAATCCATCGCGAGAGTTGGCTTGGATGGGAGCACAGTCGAGTGGCGTTCGCCTCGTTCTCAAGGTGGGCATTCCCGACTCGGGCGCCTCCGCTAACGCAAATCAGAGCTCGCCTTGCTCGGAAAGAAAGGGAAAATATCGGAGCTTCGCCTCGATCTATATCCGACGTGCGAGAGAGAATTCGCCGGCAAAGCCGCGTTGTTTACCAACAGCCCCCATCCACCCCTCGTTCTCGCTAATAAGCGCTTCTTTGGCCGCGCCGAATATCTGTATCGATTAGCCAGTCGACTCCGAGGTTTACAGGTGATAAAATATCGACCTCGGTAAATCAGCCGGCCGGCGAAGAGCATTATCAGCGCGCCTTGAGTTGCTTTGTCAATTTTTAACGTCATCCGAGATAGCGAAGGCGGGCGAGCTGGGCAATATTTCTCCTTCGCCCGGCGTCGTCGTCTTGCAATTACAGTGATCGTCATTCTTCCCTTGATTAAGCTGGTCGCGAAGCTTCGTGAATGAATAATACACTGTTTGGCTGAGAGAGAGAGAGAGAGAGAGAGAGAGAGAGAAAGCGAGAGAAAGATAGAGGAGGAGGTCCTTTTCGTCGTCGTGAGAGAAAAAAAACTGTTAGCGTATAATCAGCGGCGGTGGCGGTGGCAGTGGGTGGTGGTGGCGGCGAGTCGGCAGCGTAGCGGCTCGGCGCACACTCTACTCGGGGAGGAGGGTTATCGATTGCTCTGCCAACCCTCCGTCGCTTCTGCGCGCGGTGAGCACCCGGCCTCTCTCTCTCTCTCTCTCTCGCTCCCTCGGAGTCGAGGCTCTCCGTGCAAGCGCTCCGAGCGCGCAGTCGGCCCGGGAGCGCTCGATCGTTAAGTGTCTCTCTCTCTCTCTCTTTCTCTCTTTCTCTGCTACGTCGTCTTCAGAGCCATCGAGAGCGCCAGCACCGTTATCCGCGACTGACCGGACCACGGAGACGGCGAGTACGGCCACGGCGACCCTCCGCGCACGAGTGAGAGTATGACGCAGCCGCCGCGCGGAAGCTGCCCTCCGAGCAAGCGGCAACAGCAGCAGCGGCGGCCGAGTTGAGCGGCGATGACGCGATGCGGACGCCCTCCGCCTCTGCGCACGGTAAGCCATGGCGACCTGCCAACCTACGATCTCGCTCGCTCGCTCCCTCTTCACTCTGCCCTCCCGACGCGTCTTCAGCTTGCCGTCCGATCACCTGCACCACGCATAACCGCGTCTCGACCACTTCGCCTGTGACCGCGCGCGCCACCCTACAGCGGAAATACCCGCGACCCCAGCCGATTGATCGCGTGCACGGATTTTTCGCGCTTCTATTATTATTTCTTTATTTTACTTATACCCGTGTGCGCTTCGTCGGCGCGCGCGCGACGTACCGTGACCACGACAATTTGAGCACGTTCGCTGCGCGCCGAGTGTACGTACTTTGCGCCCTGACCGAGTCCTCGCGCGGATTGCCATTCACCGGAACTGTCGGTGAGCGCGCTCGCCTCGTGACGATACGAAAAGAGAAGATGACTCCCGGAACACGTCGAACCGAGAATCTCGAGCGCGAAGCCCAATGGATTTCCGCCGCGCGCACCGCTACGCGAAATCATTCCTTCGCCACGGCCGCACATGTCGTTTTGCTTGCGCCGTAAAAACGCGTGTGCGCTGCCTGTATCGGAGTTTATCTTGCGTCCGAAAAAGACAGACACAGAGAGAGAGAAACCGATAAAAAAAAGTTTTATTTCGCGCAAGTAAACTCCAGCCGCCCCCTCCCCACTCCCCGGCCCCGGGAAAAAGTGCTGCCGAGCGCGAATTTTTCGCCCTCTCTCCGTGGCGCGAAAACGCATACGATAGAGAGAGAGAGAGAGAGAGAGAGAGAGAGAGAGAGAGAGAGAGAGAGAGAGGGAAAAGTCACGCTGGCGAATAATTATAAATAACAAGATAGCAGCTGGGAAAAGCAATTTGCCCACCGACAATGGAATTGTAAACATAGCGCGGAGGCAATGAAAAAGACGCGGGCGATACGAAATATTTATGAATCTCGGTTGAGGCTGCGTGCGGTATAACGCGTGCAGGCGTAAACGACGGGTAATGCACTCAGCTTTGCCGCTTACGTAAATAATTACGACGCCAGCATAATCCGGGGAGGGCAACGCTCGGGGGGTTCGCGCCGCGCGTCTCTCCTATATGCGGCGAGCGGCAAAACAATAGTTTTTCGCGCGCGATATCGCTTGATTAAAAGACGCCGACAGGCGAAAAATTCAAATCGCGCAGCGGCATTCGCCAATGGGAGCACGTAGAGGGCATAAAAGTGCTGAGGACGCACGGCAACCCAGCGAATGGAACGGGCGAGAGAGGAGCAGCGGGAGGAAGGACGACCATCGCGGTAATAAAGTTCGCTAATGCACTGCTCTGTGTGCCCGCCAGTTTTGCATTCAGTTTTCGTAACCGGATCTCGCCTTCTTCCACGCCTCGTGAATACTCTTACGGGGCATCCCCCGCTGACTCTCATAAATTTTCCGATCGCTCTCGCGTGTCCGTCAACGTGTCCGAATACGCTCCACTCGTGCTTGCCGGCCCGTCGACGATTAAAAGCCGGTAAAAGGCCGTGCTAATTGAACGATATTGCTGGTATCGATTTTTCATCGACGCGCACGCTTCTCGAAATTAATCTTGCAGCGACAGAGCCGCAAGCAACGACCATTGTCGCCGTTCACAAAAAACGTGCGAATTTAACTGGGGGGGGGGGGGGGGGGGGATTTATTTTCGGGCGTACGGGATTTGATGCGCCCGAGTCGGTTTCGTTAACAATTGAGCTGCTCGTCGTTTTCGAGCGTGCTCTATTCGATCAGAGAGCTTCGCTGCTTTTTGCCTTAATTTGCCGTAAAATAAAATGAATATGCTCTGTTTGTCTCTCTTTCTTGGTGTTTTCATCCGAGACAAAGGGGAAAGTACGGCGAGAAAGAAAGACACACTGCGAGCTCGCTATCGGTAATACGCGGACTACTATCGCGATAATAACTGCAATCACGCTTCGATCTCATCTCTGCTCGACTGTCTGTATCTCGTGAGCTTGTCCGTGCGCGTGAATGCTCGAGTTAAGGTGGCTCCACCAGGCCGGGCCGTATCACATCGGGGCACCGTTGGGGGTTTCATAAAATTGTCACCTCGTCAACCGAAGTATTTATTGAAAATAGTATTATAATTGACAGCAAGTTCAAAAATTAACTAGTTTATACTTAATAGTAAAAAAAATAACGAAAAAGCTTTTTTTCACATAATACATTTCATGATTTCATCTCTAAAATGTAACAATTTATGTTTTTCATGAATATTTTTTTTATTAGTTCGATAACCAGTACTTTTCTTTTCCAATATCAGTTATATCAATTTAGTAATTGTACTGGACAGCATTATGATTTTTGGACAAAGTTATGTGAACATACTATGTGAACACACAATCATGCTTTGCTAAGTCACCAATATATAATTGATCATTTATTTATTTTTATTTAGTTCGATAATATCCATTCATGTTTACGGAATCTGAAAGCTCAAAATACTATCTATATAAAAATGTTGGTTGGATTCTATCGCAAAACAATATTTGGTGGAACCATCTTAATAGGTTAAGGCTATCTACTTTCGTTCCAATGTCTGAATGTTTGGCCCAAATAATTTTGTTGTTTGTTTTCGAGCTTTTTCGCTCGCCCTCATCATCGCGCTCGATCGATCTTGCGAGATATTGGAGGTGACGCGCCAGCGGCTAATTACAAACTCACTGGGTTTTTTCAGAATTGAGATACATGAAAAATAGATAATCCTTATCGACGTGTTTATACCAATATGCATGCTCTCTAATCGCCAGACACTTGTAAGTCGTGTTTTAACTTGCTATCGAACTTATTAAACGCAGACCACGAGCACTCGAGTAGCAGTAAGCATTACTCTGAAGAATGCTGTCGATAAAATTGTTGTCGATAAACTGACTTTCTCGCCATTTAATTCTCACAGCATCCGTACGTTTTTTTTAACAAAGAATTGACGTTAAAATGACGTAAGCAGTTTAATTTATTCCACTTAAGCTTCATAGGATTAATGATTTCCGTTACAAAAGGAACAACGCGAATTACAGTCGTAAAAGAATTCTTGCCAGCCTGCAGTTTGCAGTCCTTTGGCTCGCGCTAATTCATCCTGCGACTCGGGCCGCAGCTTGCAAAGCAGCCCCTTTGCGCAAACGCGACGTATAGAATTTAGCGTTTCGCGGGCGCAACTCGGCGAGCGTGATTCATTGACGAATTGACGGTCGCGCGCGGCCCAGCTGCACGCGCAGGCGAACTTTTCGCAGCTCAATCTTTCTCCGCGCGTAGCGCGGCCGTAACTCATCGCCGAGCGAGCCCCGGGACACTCAACAAATAATTATCGCCGATTTCGGACCAACTTTTAATGGACTTTTCTGTACTTTGGCTCCTTTATTTTCCGGCCGATAAATCAGCGGCTGCCGCGTGATCGAGCGAAATTAATAAGTCGCCGCGAGAAAACCGATAAAATTTTCATTCGGCTGGTATCCTGCGACTTTCCCGGCAGAAATCGATATTACACAGAGCGTAGAACTGCCAGATATGTTTGGGATAAAAAAGCTAGAAAGATATACAGGGCCGCGTGGAGCGAAGCTCGATTGAACAATGAAATTGACGAGCGAAGGGCGACGTTATTTCGGCGAGGAGTCGCAGGGGCTCGATTTAATATCAAAATCGCGGCGCGCGTGTCCCGCACGCGAAGAGCCGCGGATTTTGCCCGCTGAATTTCCGATAAGCCCGCCGCAACCCCCCCCCCCCCCCCCAATCCGTCAGCTGCTCGGCAATGAAAGCTGCGCTGTTGCAGGCACAAGCGAGGAAGATGAGGGTGGCGAGCGGGCGAAGTCCGGAAGGAGCCTACTGCTGGTGGTCCTGGTGGGCACGCTGGTCGGCATGGCCGCGGCCGAGCAGCCCAAGTACAGCACGCGCCTGGTGCACACGCACTACGGCGCGCTACGCGGGGTGGTCGCGCGGGGCAGCGCCGCCGGCGAGACCCAGGTGGAGGTGTACCTGGGCGTCCCGTACGCCACGCCGCCGCTGGGCGCGCTACGCTACATGCCGCCCGTCACGCCCTCGCCCTGGCGCGGCACCCGCCTAGCCGACAGCATGCCGGCCTCCTGCCCGCAGCCGCTCCCGGCCCTCGACGCCTCCACGCCGCGCCAGCAGCGGGCCCACCTCGAGCGCATCCACCCGCTGCTGAGGAACCAGAGCGAGGACTGCCTCTACCTCAACCTCTATGTGCCCAGGCCGCCGCCCTCGTCCTCCTCCTCCTCTTCAGCCGCCGGCGCTGCTAATCATCCAGGTCAGAGCTCCGCCACGATGCCAATTTTAAAACGATTTTTTTTTTCGCTATCGAACGACGTGCCTTTCGGATGGAGCTTGCCGCCGCCGTAAGTACGGTGCGCACGGCTCCGACAGTCACAGTCAGCAGACGATGTAATCAGCGAGCGCTTGGCACGGCGCGCCTACCGAATTTCGGCCATGCCGAGCGTCGCGTGAACTGCCCACAGCTCGGCGCTCAAGGGCGCGAGAGCGAAATCCGCGGAGTTGGCCGAGCGCCGTGCGATGAGACGCAACGAGCGCCGAAGATCCGGTCTCGGAGCGAGGCGCACAAGGAGAGAGAGCGAGGATCGCGCCTTTTGGCCCTGCCGCGGAATCCGGGCTCGCATCCGACGAACTAACTTTTCCATCTCTCGGGCAATGATAGAAAATTCACCGGAAAGCCGGCCGAAGCTCGGGCTGGCGCGAGCTTTCAGTGGAATCAGCCAAGTTTACGAATTAGGAGCGGGGCTCCGACGCGTACACGATTTTCGACGTCTAACGAGCTCCGATTTAAGCCAACTCTTTTCGCTCTCGCCGGTGGGTCCGGTCTAATTGTAGTATCGGTCCGCGCGATGAAACCTTCGCAATTAGAACGTGCGCGCACAGTCAATTGGGCAGGCGGATTTTAATGGCCCGCGGAAGGTTGAGACGGGAGCGACTCGCCGTTAATTGGAAAGAAAAGGCAAGCGATGGGCGTCAGGCGTACGCGCGAGGGTTTCGTCTCCGAAGAGGGCTGCTGGGAATAAATTAGCCGCGCACACACTGAAGAAGCGCTGGGGGCGGCTTGGGAATCAATTACAGCCGGCCGTGCGCGCCAGTATTTATGCGGAATCAATATACAATCTGTACACAAAGGCCGAGAGGAGGACGACCATTCGGGGAATAACTAGATGAACAGAAGAACGCCGGACGGCGCACATGGAGCAGCAAAGAAGAATGGATGAAAAGAATGGCGCGTCGACCCCTTCAATTCCGTAGTGCATTGCAGTGAGAACTCGCGAGTGAGATTCTGCAAGCACCGCGGGAGTGAGGGGGCTTCGTGTCGAATCATCGCTATCGCTCGCGCGCCTAGCTTCCCGATAAGCGCCTCCGCTATGCTCTACGCTGCCTCTCTCTCTCTCTCTCGCACGCGCGCGCACGCGCTCGAAAAAGAAGAATAAAACAGCAAAAATATATATACAGGCCGCCAGCCAGCAACATCAGCAGCAGCAGCGAGTTATTTAGGTTAAAAGGCTCGATTTTTCTACTCGAGTTGCCTTTCAGATAATTAACGTTACTCGTCCAGGGGCCTTTCAGTTTCCGGACGCAGCGCTCGCCTTTTCTTTTCGCACGCAAACTCCGGAGAAAGCCGGAGCCAGTTGCTTTATTCTGCATTTTAAATTACCGGCCAGCGATCCAATGTATACGCTTGCTCTCTCTCTCCCTCTCTCTCTCACACGCACACATACACATACACACACCCCATTGTGAACCGCAAAAGCGTTATTAATTAACTAAAATATAGGCAGTCTAAAAGCTCGCCCGGCTGCGCGCTCGTTTTTTCTTCCGAAAAGGCATGCCGGAGTGCCTCGATTTTCGCTCGCGTAATTCATTATATTTCGAGGGAGAAAGCTGTCTGAGTTTCAAATATCAATTTCAATTCGTACTTCAAAGTTCCTTAATCGGATTGCCGGGCTCTATTTTGATTATTTCGAAAGCCAATTTATCATGCGAATTGCTTTGAATTCAATGGGAATACAGCACGGAAACTAAAACTTGAAGAAGTAACACCGCTTCGAGCGTTTAATTTGCACCTCTAACGCTTCTTTTCGCGCTAAACAATCGATTTGCGGTGGTAACTAAGCGCGTTGCGCGCGAATGTTACTCGATTGCCGATGCGGGAGATTAAAATTGCTCGCGAGGCGTCGAAAAGTACTGGAACAACATTGTAAGCGTCGAGATCGACGGGGGAAAAAAGTATGAATTTGAGAGTGCACGAAAACTGTATATGCGAAAGTTATGCCCTATTGTTCGCATTGCAACCGCAACAGCGTAACACTCTGCAGTTTGATTTTATTTATTTTTGACGGTCAATTGACTTTTATTTTATTTTATTTTTTTTCGAATACGCTCGCGCGCTGCGTTGGAATCGAAAACTGTTATCAGCAGAAAAGCATGCTTTCCATGCGCGGCAATTCCAACAAAGCGCAAGGCAAATATCTTTTCTCGCATGAATATCTCAAGAGGAGCGTTATACTTCACTTCAAAGCGCGAGCTCACGGGATTTGTATACTAGGTTTCGCTTGTCAAAATTTACCTTCCAAGAGACGTAAAAGTTTCGCGATTGTTGAACTTTGATCTGAAATATTGTTCAAACGAAAAAATAAAATAATAAAAAAACTTTCTTATCTGCAGCCGAAAGAGACAAAGAGGAAGGGCGTCGGAGAGAAAATCAATGCGGCATTTGAGAGGATTTGCTGATGAAAAAAGTTGGTCCGATGGTTGATTGCAGGGAGTAGTGGCAGTGGCAGCGGCGGAGGTGGCACGTCGGATCTGCTGCCAGGGTTGCTGCTGATCCACGGCGACTCGTACTCGTGGGGCTCAGGGAATCCGCTGGACGGAACCGCGTTGGCCGCCCACGGACGGCTCATCGTCGTCTCCATCAACTTTCGCCTGGGCATCTTGGGTGAGTATAGCTTTGCGATCGATTAGCCGCTCTGCCCTCCCCGTACTCACCGCTCGCGCGTACGCGTACGAGTCCCTTGGCGCCCCGTGCACCTATATACGCTCCACCTAGCTGCTTCTCCCCCGGCGATCGCCGGACTTTCTTCTCCGTGCGCTTGTCTCGGATATTGTTTCGAGATCAGAAACGAAGGAAAAGCTCGTTGAAAATGAGCCGCGCAACGGCGACGGCGGCGGGCTTAATTATTCAAAGGGCGTAGCCACCGGCTTCATTCAGCTTTGACGCGTTTTTAGTCACCGTTTAATCGTTCCGTGAATTTTTCATCGTTTAATCAACGCTCGCTCAATGGCGCACCGGACGCCGTCTCTTTCTACCTTTTTTTCCTCTTCTCTCAAGACGCGACGGCGCACAATGGCCGCTAATTTCGCTCGCACTTATCGCAGAGAGAGAGAGAGAGAGAGAGAGAGAGAAAGAACGACGATCGATACACACGTGTGCGCACACGTCGTTTCCTTTGTCAGAGACTAAACGATCTTTTCAGCCCTAAGATTGACGCTCACTCCCTCTCTATCTACCCGCGGCTGTGTTTACATGCCGGTTCAAAGTCATTCTCGGTCGGATGGAATCCAGAATGACACTTTACAAATACACGCCCCGTCCGGCATTCTAAAGCTCGCGAAGTTTCCTTTTTACAACCCTTTCAGAGCTTTCGACCCCTTCTCGGCGCCTCCTTTTTTTTTATTCGCTTTTATCAAAGAAACGAGCGTAGGATCGTTTTTTTTTTATTTTGAAGTACACGCGCGGTCCAATTATTAATTAGGCTTTTGACGAGCGCTGAAAAGTAAATCCACCCGCTGAGAGTTCAGGCGCGGCGAGACAATCGAGATCGCGGCGATTTCCCTTTTTCAGGCTGAGCGCCCGCGGCTGCACGCGTTTGGCGCTTTCGAAATTCCCGCTGTATCGAAGATGTTCTCTCTCTCTCTCTCTCTCTCTCTCTCTCTCTCTCTCTCTCTCTCTCTCTCTATCTCTACTTATATAACTTTATTAATTATGATGTAAATAGAGTACTAAATTGGTTATTGAGCAAAACCTCAAACATATCGAAACAGATCAACTTCCTTTAATTTTTCATGCAGTTCGTAAGCGCTATTAAGACCCTGGGGATCACTATGATTAGTAATTTTGGTTGGAACATTCACGTCACTGAAAATAGTATCTCGAGTACATTGTGACTTAAAACGATTGCATTACAGAGTAAATTATCTATCAAATAATATCAAGAAACAGTTGGCCTCTGTTTTGCTTCTTCATTTGGCTTATCGTTGCTTAATATATTTCAATCTCCTATTGTACCTCAACAAAAATTAAAAACATTACTGAACCATGTGGTCAGGTTCAATTTTAAATTACGAAGAGATGCAATCATAAAACTCTACTACAATCGATTAAATTGGCTACCCACAATTACGAATATTTCATGGTGGTAGCCACTTACAAATTTCTTCAAATTCAGGTATCCTAATATTTGGTACTCTATTTTCCAACGTTAAATCCAGACATTAGATGCACCACTCGACCGCTCTAAACGGACATTTAGTTGTCCGAGAACGAATTTCAATGTATATGAAAGGTCCTTTAATATGTAGGCCATGAAATCGTGGGCCACTATATCGTATCAAATTAGAATTAAGCCACCTACAGATTCGTTTAAATCCTCACTCTATGATTACCTCTTAAATGGAAATTCTGACGTCAGCGAGACTTAGCGAATTCAAGATTTATTGAATGTATGCTCGACTAAATTATTTTTGAGATCATCATATGTAACCTTTATCGAAATTTGAAACTATCATCCTATGTAAACTCTATTACTTCGTGCAGCTATTGATTCTATGTAAAGATTAATCTTCTTTACTGTTGTTCACTAGTTAAAAAATTTTAGAAATTATTATCCTCTTAGCTTCGCGGACAACATAATTAACATTATTTATACTTCGTTTAAATTTTATATTTTGTTATCACTCTAAAATATTTTATTTTTTGTTTGCATTCATTTTTATATTTTTATATTTTTATTTATATCACTTATTTACCTAAGTGCTTAACGATTCCATTGAATCTAAGCACAACTAAGTATAGTTTTAAATAAAAATCTCTCTACGAATCGCGGACACAGGTTACTTCCACTGAAGCGACTGTTTTACACCTATTGCGACACCCGATTTCGCGACAGGGCGGGCATAATGAGCAATTTCCATCGAGATCATTGGCAGGAAATTGAGCGCGATCAAAATTGGCAAAGGAGCGAGCGGGAAAAAAAGCGCGCGGGCGTCTAAAACCTAAAAGCCCCGATGAGACTGCGAACGGCAGAGCGGAAAACACGAATTGCCACTCAAGCGATCCGCCGCGGTTCCCTCCCCCCCAACCCTCCACCACCCCGAACGCACGCGCGTCGAGCAAGTGGGAGCGCGAGGTGGCAGCTCCGTCATTAGGCCTGCGTGGACGCGATTGTTGCAGGTTTCCTGAAAACGAGCTCAAAGGGCAGCGCCCAGGGCAACTACGGGCTGATGGATCTGGTAGCCGGCGTGCACTGGCTGCGCGAGAATCTGGCGGCGTTCGGCGGCGACTCGAACCGCTTGACCCTGCTGGGCCACGGCACCGGCGCCGCTCTGGCCAACTTCCTCGCCGTCTCGCCCATGGCCAAAGGTAACGAGCTTCACTCTTTCTCTCCCTCGAGCGCAGCGCGCCAGTCCGCTACGTGCATCCACTAACAATCTCGCTGGCCTGGATTGCCCTGCCATTTCGCTAACGAACCGCGCGAGCGAGCGCAATCCAAGTGTTGGCCACTCTTCCCTCCCTCCCTGCCTGCCTCGCACTCGCTCGCTCGCTCTCTCTCCTCTCTGGGCTCCCGCTTCTCGCGCTTTTGTGTTTTATCTCGGAGATGTACGTACCGGCTGTTTTAGCCGAGTGACGAGCAGCCAACACCAACTAGCCAATTCTTCAGCGACGATGCATTGTTATCGGTCGCCCTTATTGCCCCAGGCGAACTAAAGAGTGCGCCGCCAAAGAGAGCTTCTTTCCATTTCTGCGCTCGTCGCTTCGATCGGATTCCCAACGACAAAGTCGGGTCACGACGACGAGGCGCGCGCGCGAGCTCACCAGCATAATTCGAGGGCGATAAGCGCGCTCGAGCCGGGCTCGCTCGACCCGCGTCGCCGAATTTATCATTCCGCGGCGCTGCGGCGGCGCGCGCAAAGCAATTTAGCCCCGCGAAAAGAGGCGCGCGTTAACAATACACGCAAGCAGCAAAGCGAATTCAGTTTGCCTCTGATATAATGCACTTTGCGCGCGCGGGCTCTAACAACGTTGCTCCGCGATTGCGAGCGAACCAAGCGCGCCGTCGTTTGGTTTTACGCGCTCTTCGACAGAGCCGCGCGCCCTCTTGGCGATTGAATTTTCGCTGACGCGGCGCGCGAATTGTATTTTCAGCGGCGACCACGGCGCATCGAGCGCGCGAACTTTCGACGTTAGTTTTTCTATCGGTCGGACGTACAGCGCGGGTGGCGGAGATGGAGGTCGTTAAATATTTCATCGGTTTTATTATTCAAAAGAAACGAAGAGAGAGGAGAGAGAGAGAGGGAGAGAGAGACATAGAAAGAGAGAGCTTGCAGAGCGAGCAGGCTGTGCTCTTCAAAAAGCTCATAAATGAATAAAGCACCGGAGCACATCCGACTAGTGAATGAAACTGCCGCGAGCGGTCGATGATGTGGCGAGGACAGAGGCGTAAACAGGATTGCGAACGCGTGTGCCTCAGAGCTGATCGAGCGCGTGGTGCTGCTGGGCGGCTCGTCGCTGTCGCCATGGGCGGTCCAGCGAGAGCCACTCACGGTGAAGCGCCGAGTGGCCGAGCAGCTGAATTGCCCGGGCGACGTGGAGGCCGACGACATCGCGGCTTGCCTGAGGCTACGCCACGTCGACGAGCTGCTGGAGGTGAGGCTCGACGTGCCGAGGTTCACCTCGGGCTTCGCCCCCTTCTTCGACGGCACCATACTGCCTGCCAGCGCGAACAATCAGGTAAAGTGGGCACGCGTTGTCGCGCCGATATCCGTGCCGACGACAGTAAGAGCGACCTCGCAACCGTCGATCGACGTCTAGCTAATCGACGCACGCTCCCGCAGAATTTCCAGCCGACGGTGTCTTCGTCGGGACTGATGCCACTACTGCCGGGGCCCGGCGCCGAGTTCGCCAACTTCGGCGACAGGGACGTACTGATGGGCCTCACATCCGACGAAGCTTGGCTCGAGCTGGCCGAGCAGGATCTCGAGGTAAATATTGCCTGGCGCCCGCGCTCAACTCGCAGCCGCTCATCGAACGAATCGTCGGTTCGCAGAACGGCCTGAACGAGACGAGGCGAGACAGAATCCTGCGCACCTACGTGCGCAACACCTACCGCTATCACCTGCACGAGATCTACTCGACGCTGCGCAACGAGTACACGGACTGGGAACGCGGCGAGCCCAATCAGCTGGCCATCTGCGAGGGTCTGCTCGCCCTGCTGAGCGACGGCCAAGTCGCGGCGCCGCTGCTCCGGCTGGCGCTGCTGCACTCGGCCAGCGGCGGCCGCGGGTACTTTCTACACTTCCAGCCGGGCGAGAGACCGAGTCAGAAGGGCGAGGAACTGCCTTATTTACTCGGACTGCCAATGCTGAGGCACGAGAGCCTCGCCGCCAGCAACTACACCGCTGCCGACGAGAATCTGTCGAGGCTGCTCGTCCACTACCTGTCCAATTTTATTCGGAGAGGGTGAGCTTCCAGTCGCGCGTCTTGCCGCTCGAAATGAGGCAATGGCGGTTGTTTCCGAACGGTCGAAGCCGAGGTGCTGGTCGACCAGAATGAAACAACTGGCCGCCAAATTTGGGCTTCCGGAGTGGACGAGCAGCCTCGGCAGATAAAGTGAAAACCTTGCAGCGACCCGAACGGAGCGGCAATGTCGTCGATGAACTCGGCGGCGGCGTGGAGCTCCTCGGCCGACGTGGGCGTAACGAGCCCGCCGTTCTGGGACTCGTACGACTCGATAAACCAGCTGTACCTGGAGGCGGGCCGCGACGCGACGGAGATGCGCTCGCACTACCGCGGCCACAAGATGAGCCTGTGGCTGAACCTGCTGCCGCAGCTGCACAGGCCGGGCTACGAGGTGAGCATGCGCCACCACCACCTGGCCGAGAGCCCGGCGCTGTACGAGGGCGCGGTGCGGCCGCAGTCCATGGCGATGCCCATACCCGCGCCGCCGCTGCCGCTGCCCTACCCCACCGAGCCCTCCATCTCGTCGTCCGCGGCCGCAGGTGGCAGCACCGCGCAGTCCGCCGCCGCCGCCGCCACCACCACCGACTGCGCGACCAACCTGAGCAGCCTGCTGCCCGGCACCGCGGCGCCGCCCAGGTGAGCCGCCGCGCGAGGCCCCGCCCGCGACCTGGCCGCGCGCGCTAACCGCCAGCTCTGTCCGCACAGCGCCAACACGCAGCACCCGCAGCTCGGGCCCGGCCCCAACAACCTGCTGCGCAAGCTGGCCTCCAGCCACTACCAGAGCTACACGACCGCGCTGACCGTCACCATAGCCGTGGGCGTGTTCCTGCTGCTGCTCAACATCCTTATATTCGCCGGCATCTACCACCAGCGCGACAAGAACGGCTCGGCGGGCGCGGGCGTCGACCAGGTAAGCGACCGTCGACCCGCCGCGGCCGAGGGCGCGCGCGCTCACCCGCGACCTGCTTGCAGCTGGCGCTGGCGAGCTACGGCGACCAGAAGAAGGACGACCTGCTGGAGATGGGCGGCGCCGCGGGCGGCAAGCCGGGCAAGCGCCCGACCTTCGTGCTGGCCGACTCGCCGACCGACAGCGCCGGCACGCCCGTGCTCGCCCACAAGACCAAGTTCGTGGACGAGCTCGAGCACATGCAGCTGCGGGACCTGGAGGCGGCCGGCGCCACCGCCACCTACTTCTGCGCCAGCCCGTCGCGCGCGCGCACGCCCTCGCCCTGCGTGGACGCCACCATGGCCGCGGCCGCCGCGGCCGACGACCTGGACGACGACCTGCCCGAGCCGCCGCCGCCGCCCAAGTCGCCCGCGCCGCCCTCGGGCATGCTCTGCCCCGGCATCCTGCGCCAGCCCGGCACCCCCGGCAGCGCCAAGAAGCGCGTGCAGATACAGGAGATCTCCGTCTGAGTGTCCGACCGCGCGAGGCGCTGCACGAACGCCCGCGTGGCCTGAGCTGCGCGGGCGTCCTTGCAGCGCGTCGCGCGCTCGGACCGAGCCAAGCGAAAGCGTGTGGCGTGTTTGCGTCGAAATTGTCTGCTGCTCGCTTCGTTTTCCTTCGAGCAAGTTTATTGTACGTCAAGAGAAAAGCTTTATTTTACCTGGGATACATTGTACACTCGACAGTTGCGTTTGCGTTCTTTTTATATAGACTTATACGTACTGAATTACCATACACCTTATATTACATTGATTATCGGCGTTAAGTTGGCGGGCGTCTTGCTCTTCGACAAAGCGTCGTTGTTATCCAAAGCAAAGACTATAATTGAACCGTTATTTCAAGTTCTATTGACTATACCGCGTAAGATATGTGTAAGTAAGGATGCCAAACGAAAAACACAAGCCAAAGAAAGCAAAAGAAGTGTCGATGCAAATACCTCAGACATTGATGAACGAAGGGATTGAAAAGTGAGAAAACTCGACGAGGAATTCGACGAGGACGGGCGACGTGTGTTTTCGCGCGTATCTTAGCTCATACGCAAGGAATTGAATTGTCGAACGTAAGCATTAATAAGAAAAGGATTAAGTAAAAAACGTAAAAAAAATTTAAAAAAGATATGAAATAGAGAGAACTTGTGATCGCTTAGCTTAGTGAGCCGAACGAGAGTCGGTGACTAGACTAGAGGACAGAACGAGCCTCGCGCGCATGAAGCAGCTTGTAACGATCGTTCTCTAGATAGCGAGATTAAAGAGTGCTCGACTCGATGAGACAGCAATTATCCAAACGACGAATAAGGCGAGACTTTCCGATCGTATTAATGGGTTAGTTTCATTATAGCGCGTACTTCTCAAGACTAATTAGCGTGCCGCGATTGGGCGGCCAAGCTATACGCAAACCAATAAAGCCGTGATACCTAACGGAACGCACAATTCCTTGAACAAAGAAAACAAGTGTACATAGATTTGCCAGACGAGCCTGAGCACTCCTGGGTCTTCCTTCGAGTCTAGTCGAAACACTACCGCGCACGACCATTGCCAAGGTATAAGATTTGCGCGTGTCAACATAAAACGAATGATAAACAGCGGTTACTTTTTTTACGCGAACGGCGGGGAGAAACAAGGCCCGGAGACAGAGCCTCTCCGGGCGAAACATTGTAAAATACATGGGTGTGTGCAACTATCTCACGATACCGCTATTTCCACGTGTATTGGCATTGTAAAATGGGCGCGTCTCATTGGTGTGTTGAAATAAGTAATAATAATTTGTTTTTTTTTTCTTTTTTCGAGTAACATCAAGAATTTCCGAAGAAAAAAGAAGCTATATATACATACATACATATATATACATACCCATATATATATGTATTGTATCGACGATTGGTTTCTTCTTTCGGGTAGTTATCGATTGATTTACGATTCTGTAAATAAGCATGCGATAAAATTATATTAGTTCTCGACTATTGTTAAATAATAATATATCAATAATAACACTGGTTTTTAACAATGAAACAAAGCGTCCTTTTGTGTACTGTATGTGTGTACGTATGTGTGTGTGCGCGCGCGCGCGTCGTATTTCCTTTGCGTCCGGTAAGAAGTTTTTTGCAGCAGTAGGCATCACCTTTTTAAGGTAAATAGCGCATATCGCGTGCGCACGTTATCACGCGTGGATGACGAGCCGCGCGAGAGGAGAACGAGACGTCAAAGGTCATCAGTCGTCGGTGTCCTTTTTGCGGGCTCGACCTCGCTACCCAGTTAGTCGACAACGCGAATTCTTGTCTTTGTGTCCGCGCGAGTTGCTGCACCCCCCCCCCCTCTCTAGCGCGCACTTGGATCGATATTATCAACTTTCAGCCAACAAAGTTTGGAAACTCCTTTTGTTCCCGTAGCTCTCTCTCTCTCTCTCTCACAGTATGCGCCTCAATTGGCAAACTAAAACTTTGCTCATTATGATTTGCGGTCAGATGTTATTGTTTAAATTTTTTCCTCCTAGAGATAGACAATTGAAATGCTTTCACGGCGCAGCTCTCGAATAGCTTTGCATTTGCGGGAGAAATAGTTGGCAAGTTTCCTTTCAATGAGAAAAATGAAAAATGAACCGCGAGCTTTTCCCCCGATGCATCCTTTTTTCCGCAGCTTTCAAAGCTGCGAGGCTCGCGTTCTGTTTTTGTCCTGTGCAATTACAAAAATACCTCGCGGAAAATCGATAGCCACCGCGTATGCCTCGCAAGCTCCTCTGATAAAAATCCGCCATCTTGTCTCTCTTTTCCTCTCCCACATATATCTCCGCGGCGTACTTGCGCAGACTTATCGCTATTGCGAAACACTAATGAGTATCTTTATTGATAACATTTCTTTTATCGGACTGACAATACGCATGCGAATAACACAACAGTGGAGATTTACTGGCGAGCTTTGAAATAAAGTAGATTTATTTTTTTAATTGATTGTTTTATTTTATATTACACATTTCGTACCAAAACTTCAGTATTTAAATTAACAAGTATCTGAGTAAAATACAAGAAATTTATAACAGTAATTACATACTTGGAAAACAAACCATTGTGTTAGAATGATAATTATTTTCAAACACATTCGTACATTGCACATGTAAAAATTGGCACAGTAAAAAAAATCTATATAATAAAATACATAAGAATGAAAAAAAGATTGCTTTAAAAGTTAACGTAATATAGTGAATTCGATCAAATTAAAATAGATGAAAGAAAAAAAAAGAAAAAGAAGGTTAAAAATTCTTCTTATATATTTATGTAGCTGCTCCTCTGACTTAATATTAACATTTAACAATCAGATACATCCAAATTTGTACAAAGACTTTTTTTTCATAAATCTTCGATAGCTTATTACGTCATTGAATGGGAAAAGAAGAATAAGAAGAAGTATCAATTATAACTGTGATTTGTTTGTTAAGAAAATTATATATCATTCTTCTTTTCCTTCTTTCATATCACAAATCTACAATAAGTAAAAATTTATTGAAATCAAAATAATCCTTAACGATACGTAAAAATAATCGATCGTATGAGACCATCTCGCTGAGTGTCCACGGGATTTCCAGCTCCAAAGCAGAACGAGACGCTATCACAGATTTTGTTTTGGCTGCAGCTTGCTAAAGGGTACCAGCCCTCCTTGTTGAATACAACTCCTATTTTGTACAGCTAAAACAAGAAAATGATGTTCACGATAATCTATTATTTAACAATCTATTTATTCTAATGAAAACCTGTTCACCTTATTTTTTTGAACGTACACTGGACGATTGAAAAAAACTTCAATTAATTCTTGAGCATCAACTTTTGTGCTCAAGTGCGTATATGTTAATCGAGTTCCAAATGAATCAAGAAGATGAGCATATAATAATTCTGTATAAGCTTTTGGCTGAGTATTATTATCCTATAAAACCAATCAAATATTAAACAATGCCTTAAATTCATGAAGAAATATATTGATATAATATTCACCACATTTAAAATCTGTGACGGCACTTGAAGTCCAAGTACACATATATTTTTATCAACAACAAATGTAACAGTGCATTCTAATTTGCTATCATTGTAGATTCCAGCTTGTTGCTCTACTGTTCGAATGCAAAAGTATTTAGGGCTTTCGTGTACTTCATTGCTAGCAACTGCAAGAGGTCTGTTTGTAGAGCTTCCGCTATTTTCCCCCACAGATGGCCTCCTTAAAGCTATAGGCTCTTGAATAGTATTGGAGTGTTCTCCAGCAATAGAAATGGGAAGAAACGAAGTTGAAGTTATCAAATTGATTGGGTGTTCCTCAAAGTCATATGGGCGCCTTCCAAAAATAGTTACTGGCTGAGATCTCTTTTTCTGAAAATAAAATTAAATAATAGCATCCAAGGTTAACGTGATTCAATATGGAAAACTCAACTTTTTTACTTACAGAAAAATCAGTAAAAAACTGTAAATTTAATAAATTCGTGCGTTTTTGTGTATTTGTACAAAAACCTTCAGGCATTGATTGTTCACAATTTCTTGATGATATATTCATCAATAAAGCAAAAGCTTCCTCTTGAGACAATAATGGTGATTTTCCAGGTCCTTCTGCAAATTCTTGTGGACTGAATGTAAGAAACCTAATTTTGCTTAGGGCATTTCCAATCACAGATTTCAATGATTTTGAATCAGTAGGATCCAAAGATTTTCTTGTGCATTCAGCTCTAGCCCATCGTTCTAAAGCACTAAATAAATCTAATTCCGAAGATACAGTCAACTCCTCTTGATCTAAGAGTGTCAATACAGTATCTTGTTCTACATCGTCCCAGCTTAACTCATTTATCACTTCATTTGTTTTTGATCTCATTATTTGTAAGCATTTCTCCATCAATACTGGCTCCTCAAACAATTTAGCGAATTCATAAGCTCGGCAAGCCTTCTTAGGTGAGAGATCGGACCATAAAAATTTTGTGCATTCCTCAACAAGAAAAGGTAACATGTACTTCTTTGCACAGTAACACAATTCACATGCAAGCTCGAAAGATCCTAAATCTACACGATCTGTATAAATATATTCAAGTAGTGCTTTGAAAGCTTCCGGTTGTACATCTCTGATTGGGATAGGGTCATTTTTTTCTGCCATTCCACCGTAAAACATTGCTTCGAACACAGGACTTGACATTGCTAGAAAAACTTTGTGCCCTTCGAGTATCTGCTGGTTGGGCTCTTGGCCGACAATAAACTTGCAGTCCGACCTAGAAACATCGTTTCCTCATAAAAAATGCACAACAATGAAAATATGCAGACTGAAAGAAAAAAACATCATACCATTGTCCCATTTCCAGCAGATACTGACTTCTTTGTGCGACCTTACGTTTGGTCGTTTGCCAATCATAAGGCAAAACCATAGCCTTATTATGGTTGTCGTTGACCTTTTCTTGATCCAGTTTGGATACAAGAGTTGTAAACTCAGCGATAGCGAAACAGGCGATGTATTAGTTCATACATCGAAGGCGCGGGAGAGCCTGCAGACAAAGCGACGACGCGCGGGAGCTCCGAGTTTGATAAAGAGCCGTCTATTTTCATATACCTCGTGCTGTGATTTCTAAAAATAACGGATACACTGAGTTTGACATAAACAATGGAGCAGCACTTGGCGCGCGCACAGCCAGTGACGCTCACATCAAAAGTACACTCACCCCCGAGACCAGGACGACATTTGGACCTCACATGATCACCACCAAATGATATATCATTCAACTCGGGCGTGTTTTTGGTTAGAAGACGATTCTCCCGCGCGGGCGAGCGGTTGGACTGTCAAAACAAACGCCTAAAAGCAGAGTATGTCCCGTCCCGCGCCGTGTTACGACGCAAAACGGTATTTTGCTCTCTCTTTCTCTCTCTCCTCTTCGCTCCTCTTTGCTCCGCCGACGAAAACGGAGTCGAGACAGATGATAAAGTTGCTCTGAATTATGTGTACAGCTATATGGTTGCAGCTTGCTATGCTAGCTGGCGCTTTTGTTGCTATTCGTCGGAAATACTCAATATCAAAACTCCTCTATCTTATATGCTTTATACCACGTCAGTTTATGTTTATATCCGATGCTACTCGCGCGTGGGTTACGCAGCTTCTACGATATCAAGCTTTTCTGCCTTTGTGTGTATATGTATATAGCTAATATCTGAGTCAGAACCATAGAACCCGACCTGAACCCGACTCTTACGCGTGCGGGAATCACGCTTGTGCGTCGAACTTTCCTCTACAGTTTAAATATATAAATGTCTTTAGCTGCCTGCTAGTTCGATAGTAACGTAAATGTGTACGACCACAATCAACCGCAATGATTACACAGGAAGAGGGGTTAGAATTATACGCTTTCTACTATGTCTACTCCCACTTGTTCGCTTGGTACGTTTTTTTATTAATAACAATACATTTACGTTTCTTTCAGATGTACATTTTAGCGAGATAGTGTAGTCTGTTTGGAGTTATCAGTGTGACGTCGCACGTCAACGCTAGGATAGCAATGTCTATCTGTGCAATATTGAACAAAATTTATACAAAAAAATACACAGAATAGCGCAGATATTAGTCTTATATACTATAAGTCAGATGTACAGAGTAGTCACTAGGATTTGAAGCATGAACAAAGTTCTCCTGTGAGAGCAATCCTTTAGTTAATATGTCAGAAGATTCAGACCCAGTATGGACCAATGGAATTGTTCCTGAAATTCCAAATGTAACAGATTTGCATTCAACAGGTAAAACTTTGGCTAACTTTGTAAAATAATCATAATAATGATCTTATCACAAAAATCAATCTTTAGAGTTCGAACGATTAAAGCTCATAGTTGTGAAAGGAACTGTAATGAAGCCAAATTTGACATTCAATGAATTAAAATGCCTCGGTCGTAGTAGTGAGGGTTTAGTTCATGGTAAAGTACTTTTCATTTTCACATTATGTTTCAGAAGGAATCTAAAATATTATTAATATACTTAATTTTATTTGTAGATAGTGTTAGAAGATTTATTTGGCCAAAATTGTTAAGGTTACCAGAAAATCAGCCACCAGTAGAAGATGACCTTGAAAATGTACATAAACTTATAGATAACGACATATATCAACAAATATTGAAAGATGTTGCTCGTAGTGGGAGTCATATGCCAGATGATACCTCAGAGGATGCTATGAACAAATTTGAAAAAGAATTGACACAAATAATATGCTGGGTGCTATTCAAACATCCAAATCTAAAGTAAATTAATTGTTTTATTTGCAAAAGTTCTAGTAATCACTTCTAAATATACAATAAATAATTTGTTTTATGATACAGCTATTATCAAGGATTCAATGATGTGGCTGCTACTGTTTTGCTAGTCATGGGTTTGCAAGAGGGATTGTATGTTTTAGAAAAAATATCATTAACTTTTTTAGAAAGATTTATGGAGAAGACTATGGAAAAAGTCAATCAGGAACTTTTTTATATATTTGCATTACTAGATAGAGAGCATCCTAAACTTTTAGAGCATTTAGAAAAGTATATAACATTTTATTAATGATGCTAATTATGTGTTACATTTTAGTAACCAGAATAATGTAGTTTATATATATTACAGTGTTGAGTTATTTCCACATTTTGCTCTAGCTGAGTATACAACATGGTATGCTCATAAATATGCAGAAAATAGAAAGCTGCTGCATAGACTGTTTGACTACTTTCTTGGCAGTCCACCTTTAATTCCTTTGTATTTAAGTACCAATATTGTTGCATATAGAGATAAGGAAATTTTTAATACTACACCAGATATGGGTCATACCCATAAAGTTCTTAGCACAGTAAGAAACGTTTTATTAACTTAATTTTCATTTCCAAGTAGTCTTTTTTTTCATACTGAAGAATTCATTATTATACACAGTTACCTGATGATTTACCATTTGAAAACTTGTTATTCTACTCAACAAAGCTGTATCAGAAATTTCCTCCAGAATCGATAGATAGTGCCGTGCGAGAATTTGACTACAGGCGAAGACGCAAAGAACAAGAATGGAAAATGAAAGCAGAGGCAACTCGCGTGGAACGAGAGAGACAACGAAAATTAAAAGTGGCACGCACGCAACCAAGAATTCCGTACCGTCTAAAAAATTATAAAACTATTACAGTTGTAACTATTTTAGCTATAGGTTTATATGCCTTTTTAAAAAATTCGTCAGGGTTTAACTGACATTAGTTCAACTTTTTTTGTTTTATTATCAATAGGTTCAGTTTACTGTTGTTGAATAAAACTTTATTTTATTAAATTATGTACAGATATTTTAGACTCAATTGTCAATGTCAAATTCTATATAGATTATTTTGGAGTTACTTGTAAAATCAAAATTATTTTCGTTATCAGTTGCTGTACAAATTGCAAATTTTTAATACTTTAAATGGGACGCTGTTCCTTATTGCACTCTTAAAATTTTAGTTGTAATATATATTTTGAGGATGAATGTTTGAAAGTACTGGTGTGATAACTATTTTAGTGAAACTCTCAAGCATTCCTCTGCTGCCTTTATATGGTGTTCAATCATGATGAACACTCAGTTGCGATGTAATTATTATTTCTACATTGAATCGCAGTCACGTTTGTTGCAACGTGTATAAATTAAAATTGGTGGAAAGTGAATTGGATACTTTTGATGTATGTGAATTCAAATTACAAATATATTCTGTGAAAAATATTGAACGTAATGTATTTATGATAGATAATTGTCAATGTACGGAAATTTAGCATAAAATTATCTATTGTTCATTAAACATTTGTTTTCTTAAAGACGATTGTTATTTAATGTATACTTTTTAGTTTTGTAAGTAAATAGAACGACGATTTATAAAAAATTATACATCTTTATTCTTATGATATGCTATGTCGTTCACATATTCTGATTAAAATTCTTATATATTTATTTTATATCTTCTTTATAGAATATTTCACAGCACCTTTCAGTCAAAAATCAAATATGCTCAATTTAATTGTGGAAGTGTTGGAGTATTATAAATTATAATAAAAAAAACTTAATTACCGAATTTTACTAAAATATTCTTTTCTGCTATCCTAAGTTAAAAAAAAAAAAAATATATATATATATATATATATATATATATATATATATATATATATAGTGGTAAATCATGTAAAACTATTTTGTCACAATCATCAGAGAATATCTCCGATTTTTTTGAGGTATATGGCGTTGGTCTTCAACTATAATATGTTTTGCTTTAGAATTTCAAAACGTTTTTGATATAATTAAGAACATTATTGTCGCTTAAAATCTGCATGTGATCAACTTTCGAGAACGTTTGATGGTAAATTTTTTGCTTTTGTTTGTCGTTCCAATGCGTGCATCCTGCTAGACTTCTTATGTTAACGGTTCCGTCTCCATCACCTAGTATTAATTGAGGGTTTCCATCAATAGATACACCACGCTTATAAAGTAATCTAAAAAAAAATTAATTTTTCAAATCTCTGTGCTTAAAAATAAATTGATATCATAAATATTTATTTAAAAATCTTACTTTTCAACGGTGTCTACTAGAATACCATGTAAGCAGTGATGTTCAACTCCTGGAGAGGTGAAATCAAGCTGATATTTTTCATTATCTACTCGAAATTCCCAACCATTTGGTACATTAATATCACTGTAAAAGTATACAATAATTAAATAATCAATTTAAATTAAAAATAAGAATTCAAAAAGTTTTATTTACATCAAATACTGCTTCATGTCAGCAAACGTATAATTTCTTACTTGAGTTTCAACAAGTACTTCGTCTTCTTTCCAAAATAGTTTTGATGGCAATAGCCAACCAAGACTTGGGGAAGTAATCTGCTGACTTTTTAGAATACTCTCTCTTAACAAATAAGCACCTAAATCGTCGCCTATTGCAAATACTTTGAGGGCTTTGACTGAACCACCCCAAACACCAGCAAGTGTAATCATTGAATTGATATATTTATCTTTCCATTTTTGGCTTTGGCGTTGAAAAAATATCAAGCACATTGGTCCTCCCATACTATGTGCTATAAGAGTGACTGGCTGGTTGTTATTCATTACATAAGTTTCTTCAACCAGTTCTTTCAGTTTCGTAAAAAACTCTTCATTTTCATCTAAAGTAAAGCAATTGATTTCATAAATCAAAATAAATCATATTGCTATGTGATTATATGAATAAATCTAATTTTGAGTATAAGTATATTTTAATATTATAATTTTCAATGATGACTTTGAGTTTTATTCACAATTATTAGTAAATAAAAGATTCAATTACCTGGCCCTTTTCTAAAATCATAAGGTGCTCCACGTAAGGAAACATTACGAACATATCCTAAATCCTTCACAAGCATATCTCCAATATACTTGAAATAAGTTCCAGGAGAAGCTTTGCTTGGATCTAAATATTCTACTGTGAATGGATCACCCCATCCTGGAATTCTAATATCTACTCCGTCAGGATTAGTTGTTTTTCTAGTTTGATTGTCATAGATAAGTCTCATATTATCAATCTGAGAAAAAAGACAGAGTTATTATTTTTAGAAAAACAACTATGACACATAATCTGATAATTACCCAACAATCAATAATTATTGGAACTAGCAACTCCAAATTCAGCCAAATGTTAAAGAATCCAGAAGATACCTTCTCACACAAATAATGTACGACCGTTGTTTTATTAATTCTTGCTTCGACCTGACTGCCCCCATCTCCTGGAACTGCGATGTACATTTATAAATTTAGATGTCTGTCTTTCTATAAATAAACGAAACTCAAACGAGAATGACAATGCGATTTTTTACCGAGGATCACAGGCGAGCGTTGATTGCCCCTAAATCGAAAAGTTTGCGTGAGTGTGAAACACGAAAACAGCAATAAAACACAACACGCCAGCTGTAATCGCATAGTTTACGATAACAACAAACACGTACAAAACGTATTCACCTATCTAAACCGTCGTTTTTTAATTTCTATTTATGGTACTTTTTATTGAAATAGAATAGGTAAAATGAGTAAATTAAATAGCTTGTCAATCGTAGTACTATTGAGTAAGAGTAAACTGAGTGTTGCTTGAACGAACTTACGCAATGGACTACATTGAAAATTCGAGTGAAAACCAACCAAACTCGGTTAGTCGAAGCGTGTGGCTTAACATCGCACGATATCAACTGCTGACGCACTCGCCCCTCTTGTGCTTGCGCACTAACTAAGAAAGCAGACGAATTCTATGGAACATTGTTTATCTTTCGAAAAAATGTCAACATTGTTATTTACATAATTTTTTAAACTTATTTAATCGGTTTCGTAATTTCTCGGAACTCTAGCTCGTCATTCTCTTATCCAACATTAATAAAACTTGATAATGAACACACAATACTTATTAATATTTAGATTAGAAATATATTCTCTGAATTAGAAATAAAAAGAGTACCTGTCACTATACTATATTTAATTTTTATAGATGCACAACTATTATTATAACTGTGAGTTAAAGCATCTCTGGAGATGACATTAAGTTTCTATTAATCACAAAAGAAATATAGATAGGAAATATTAGTTTTTGTGTGTGTAATTATAAAAAAGTAAAAGCAAATAAATTCTTTTCAGCATTTTTTCTTTTTGAAAAGATATGTTGATATAATTATTTTTCAATGCAATCATATTAATTTTGTGTTAAGCAATGTTAAACTGATTTATTATTTTTGATTAAAACTTAATAGCAAACCACGCTTGTTAAATCAATTCCGAACCAAAAAACAAATTCAACATTCGTACCAATCATGGCCTTGCGGTGCTTGGCACCGCTTTAACACACCTGCAATAATGAAATGTTTATGTGTGTGTATGTACAGCTAAGTGTTTGCGTTTCAAATAAATCAGCTGTGATTTGCGTGTGTAGGTCGGTGAGCATGCGCTTAAGGCAAACCTAACTGATCGTCGACGCCATCGCCGAAAGTCAAAGACGCCGCTACGATTGTGTGGTTGATTGTCGACAGGTGCCGGCTTTATTGTTTGATTATCTTGCAAGTAAATTGTTTAATTCTTCAATTTTTTTATGACAACGAAGTTGAAGCTTCGTAAAGTTAAATTGCTCGTTGACTATAACGTGTTTAATTTTTTGTTGACAAATTACAGAATGGCAGAAGTGAAACCAGATCACAAAGTTGAGGATGGAGAAAACTACTCAATGGGCAATAATGTCGATCCTAAGAATGTTCAGGAATTGACGCAATATGTAAGTTTATTCATAATAAAACATTATTACCTTTCAGTTTTTTCCATAATAAATCTTACATATTTCTGAGAATAATCATAATTTTCTCATGATAACTCTTTCGTGTTTGTGAAAATTACTGAATAATCAATGATTATTTTATTTTTTGTAAGGTACAAACTCTTCTACAAAACATGCAAGACAAATTTCAGACCATGTCTGACCAGATCATCAATAGAAATATCCTTTTCATACTGGAATGTTGAAATAATTCATGCTATTTTCTGTTATTGCTACATAACCTCAGCTTTCTATTGCTAATATCTGGATTCAATTATTAATTGAAAATAGTTTGTTTTAATATTAGTTATCATTTATTTTCAATTTTATAATTTTTTTTACATTGATCAATACTTGTAAACATATACAAAGATCCTTAGCTATAAATACTAGATGAAATGGGAAACAGAATAGATGACTTGGAGAAAAACATTGCTGACTTGATGACTCAAGCTGGAGTAGAAGGAACTGAAAAATAGGCTGTTTTTTACTGTCTAAGATACATCCATCGAACACTAAATCACAATATACACAATTTGCACCAAGTACAATAAGTTAATTATGGGTAATCTATCTTTAGCATATTATATTTACAATAATATTCAATTGTACAAATTTTTGTAAATTAATATTTTATTGAAGAGAATAGATTAATTTTATATTCTTTTGCATTAAGAGTAACTAATACAGTGTATTAAAGAAGATGTTAAATTCTTCTGATACTTTGGTAAGAATGGAACCATTTTTAAATCTAGAGGACGTCTTTTTCTTTGTATTTTGTTCTTATTAACAGCTACTTTTCTCTAGAATAGCAGTATTAAAGTAATAAATTAAACATTTTTATTTACATAGACTTGAGTCTAGATCTCACTGATTTTTTTTCTTGAATAGAAGATGACTCTGAAGAGTCGTCTGTACTCTCATCAAACTCTTCCACATTCACTGACTCCGATGAATTTGTATGTCCAGTTTTTGAAGAATCCTGTAAACAAGTATTTGTTAATTATGAAAATTTATAAAACACCATTAGTTCTTAGTTGAATAAATTTTTGTACCAAAGATTCTGTAGTTCTATGTACATTCTGTTTTCTCAAGTTCTGTGGTGATGGTGAAGAACGAGAGTGTAGGTTCATCAGTGAATATGCTTGACGAAAGCCTAATCGTTTACCCGACTTTGAAGATTCTGTTGTTCTCAAAGCTTCACGAAATTCCTGAACAGTTGATAAAGTAAATAAGTCATGTAAACTCATAATGAAAAATGTTATACATAAGTAGATGTTTTTTTACGGGTACAATATGTACTTGATAACATCAAATGATAATGACAAAGTTACCCCATTAATTTCAGCTCTAGCAATTTGAAACTCCTGTGCATGGAAAGTTGGCAAGAAAAAGATAGTCGATAGCAAACGATTATTAATCTTCAAACGTATCATTAATTTTACGGAATCTTAATTTTATCAAAATTACCAAGTTTTACCTCTAAATCTTGCCCCTCGTCAATTTCCGCGACATCTTGGTAGGCCTTTGTGAGAAGTTCCACAGCTTTAGCATGAAAGCTGAGCTGCACGGTAACGAAGCTCAAAAGTATCGTCTTAATGTCGTGCAACTTTTGCTTCTCAAACGAATCGATTTGCTCCTCTAAGCTTTTCACTACCTTCGAAACTTCTCGAGATGCTTTCATAAAGTTCAGATGAGCTTGCGACTACGAGCATTATGGTTAAAGAAAAGAAGTATCTCCGATGAATCCTCATTAGCATTCTCAAAGGATACGATTTTCTCTCGATTTTTCGGATTCTCCTTCCTCGCGTTGTCCAATTTTTGTTTTCGTTGAAGCTCCTCATCTCGGGCAGCAAAAGTCGTTTTGACGTTTTCTTTGGCACGCTTGCAAGTGTGCTGATACTGCGATAACGGTGCAACGACTTTGGCATTCAGCCTGTTAACTTCAGCATCCCTGCAATCATCGAGATAACCGTTAGGACCAGCCGTTTGGCTTGAACAACTCGAGTTTTCGAGTTGAAAGGGTGTACGTAATCGACCTGTAATCGCCTAAAACTGAAAGGGTGTTGGAAAAGTTGACGAGGCACGAGCTCATCGATCGATTAATGTCCTCCGAGTTGGCGTATGTTTGTATCGCCTTGGCAACTTCGTCGCTTTTGTCCCTGAGCCTGCAAGAAACCCAAAAGCCATTTCGACAAATCACTCTGGCTTCCCGAAAATCCAATCCGAAGGCTCACCTCGCTGCTTTCCTCGTGTGTGCCGCGAAAACCGAGCACAATTCGGCAAAATGTTTCTCCACCGCGTCGATCCTTTCCTGAACGAATTTGGCCTCCTTCTCGCTGTCCCTACATGCGAGACGAGAAACAAAAAATCGAAACAAGCGTTAAAGTCGCTTCATGCGCAGAAAACGCGTCTGTATGCGATTGAGTACCCGACGTTGCTTTGCGATCGCGAACGAAACATTTCGTTGACGGGCGGCCGATGGCGTGCACGTGGCTACGGCGAATAACAGTTGACTTCTGGCCGCAGGTGGTGCACTCGTTATGTTCGCTCGCCCACTGCCTCGGCCCCTATTTCCAGGTGGGAGTTGTGTGTTACCTCCCCCACGGTCACTTATAGCATATGCTCTCTATTCTTGTCGTTTCGATAATTAAGGCGAAACATGCTCTCTTGCGAAAACTTACTTCATTTTATTTATATTTACAGTGTAAAATTAGATTTTCTTTAAGAACTAGTTAGAGCAACGGCGAACGAGTGTCCAGCACCAGTTCCTATCAAGACACTTTTTAATTCAAGTGACACAATTTTCGTAGGCACAAATACATTCTCGACACTTCCGTTTCCACAATTCCCGTGTTCGTTCCATCCCCAAGACACGACGGTTTTATCGTCTGGAATTATACGCAATAGTCAACAAATAAGTTGGCGAATTGCCAGGGCACATTATCAAAAGTATCTTTACCGAGAAGAGCGACATTATGTTCCGACCCGACGGCCAGTTGCTGGATGCTTGTGGAAGTTACTGGAACAGTCGCTTCCCACGTCTCGACAGCTTGAACAGATTGACCTCGACCTAATTGGCCGTACGAGTTTCTGCCCCAGCAAAAAACTTTGTTGTCGGCTGTCAAAACCGCCGAGTGCGTCCAGCCACAGAATATTCCACGTATACTCATCGTTCCTTCGTAGTTGTTTATTTTCACCGGCGTCAAGGATAATGCTCGTATCGCAGGATCTACGCCTAATTGACCGTACTTATTGTCGCCCCATGCGAAAATCTCATTGTCGCTCGTAACGACGACAGTATGATGTTGACCACAAGCTACATATCTGGCGCTTTGTATCTGCGAAACTGCAACGAATAGAGTCTTGTATTTTTTGTATTTTTCCCGATGCCAGCTATAGCCGAGTTAAAAGATTACCCTCCACGAATTGTCCGGAATATCTGCCGCCGCGAAAATCAATTCCTAGCTGTCCTTTTGTAGCAGCCCCGCACACGAAAACTCGCGCATCTTTGGTGATTACTGCTGAGTGCCTCAATCCCATGGATATTCTTTGTACTGGCTTAGCGAATTCCACCTTCGATAGTTTATTTACTTTTGCACCTATAGCCGCATGAGTCAAGCCCAACTGCCCGTGGGAGTTGGATCCCCAGGTGAACAGCTCTCCAGATTTCGTAAGCGCCATCGAAGAATCCCAACCGCAGGCAATATCGACGATCTCCTCTCCCTCGGGAACAACCGCCATTCGTTGAAAGTGCGAGCTCGCGTTTGTCACTCCAGCTTGACCTTTATTGTTCCAACCGCAACTGAATACTCGTCCAGCGTTGTCGAGGAGAAGACTGTGACCGGCCCCGCCGACAATTTTTACAATATTTTTCGGCTGGAGACCTGTAGATGAGAGATCCACTTCACGAGGTACGAGCAATTCTTCTTCTTTAATGTCACCCTGGCCAAGCTGCCCATGGGAATTTGCACCCTGAGGATTATAAAGTTTCTTGTAACAATTTTTGAACTGTGGCGGGAGTTTTTTTATAACTTGCTATATACGCAAGCGCCAAAATAGCACGTGTGTTGACAAATGAGTCATTTTAGATGCAAATCTTTAATTTTTAGACATTGTTGAACCGAGATCTTCTTTTATATATATTTCATACTAAGATACTCAATTAGGCAATCATTATTAATTTATTCGAATACTTACCCATGAAAATAAACGGTACTGCGGCATTGCGAGATTCTACGTCTATCTTTTGATTTTTTTAAATATATTCTTTTAATCAATGGACAACGCCAAATATTAACAAGAAAAGCATCTTCACCTTAACCACTGCAGATTATTTACATCGTTTACACTACATCCATATTTGATCTTGGAAGGAAAATATATAATAGTTTCTGCTGATCTACCATGAGCTCGACTTTGACACGTCTGCATGTGTGTGTGTGCTGCTTTAAACGCCACCTATATTCGAAAACTTTTACTCGTGATGTGTATGTGTAAGTCGTTCCAACTTTGCTTTGCGGTTGCTTCCCTCAAATAGACTTTTTATTGATAAAATTATTGTGCTACTCATCCGCTCGACCACTATTTGTAAGTGTCGTTCTATATTTATATTAATGTGACTTCATTTTACCAATCGATGTGAATACAAACAGCTTTAATCTGTAAATTGTCACTGTTTGATGGTGAACATCATGTGCTTTTTGGTTAGAGTGTCCAATGCCTATTATCGATTTCCGCGACGCTTGAAGCGTCCTTTCACGTGTTTACACTCCCGATACTCATTTGATCATCTTACCTTGTTGATTTTCAGACTGGACGAGTGTTTAGCTAGCAACAACTTTGTCTAAGATACGTGTAATTCATAACAGGTAGATATTTATTTAAAAAATTGTAGAATATGTAGCGATTGTGGTTGCCGGTTGCCTTAGTAGTCTATAATTTGGATGCTTGAATTGGATAATTAAATTATTTTTATGCTGATATGCATAATTCAATTAACTGTGTCTCTGAAATGCCATATTATGATGCTAATATTGTTTATCGAAGTATAGTATTATTCAATATCTACTTAAAAAGTTTGTTTTTCTTTAATAGTTAAGATGGTGCGTGGTAGAGGTGGAATTATAAGGGGGAGAGGTATGGGACGAGGAATGGGTTTTCTTCCCAAGCGCCAGTTTATGCCTCGTCATCCGTTTGATTTGACTTTATGCGAAGTTGCTTTTCCAAAGGTCAAAGCAGCACCTGATGAATCTGACTTTACTGCCGCTCTGCTCAAAAAGAACTCTGATATGTGTCCTACTCCTAAGGAGCAAACCTCTATTCTTAATTTAGTTACTAAGCTTCAAAGTGTTTTAGATAATTTAATTGTAGCCCCTGGATCATTTGAAGCCTGTGTAAGTGTTTTAATTAACATTTTGTATTATCAGTACAAGCAATTGATTACGTTTGATGATTTTTTTTTCAGCAACTAGAAGAAGTACGTCAAGTAGGCAGTTTTAAAATGGGTACCATGATCAAAGGACATAATGTTGCTGACATTGTTGTAATTCTCAAAACCTTGCCAACAAAAACTGCCGTTGAGGCACTTGGTAATAAGGTTCAAACTGACTTGAAGGTGCAGTCTCCCAAGGAGGCTCTTAGATTAACACAAACTGAAAGAGGATTTGATATAACAAACAACGAGGCTACTGTTTGTGTTCTAATAACCACTCTTCATCAGAATCTCAGAAAATTGGAGCCTGATCAGCATTTGGATATTAAAATCTGTCAAAGTATAATTAATAATAAAAAAAGTTTAGAATTTACATCTAATTATTTTTGTTTTTCTAGGCCACTTGGCAGCAATTAGACATTCTCGTTGGTTTGAGGAAAATGCCCACCATTCTAGTATCAAAGTTTTGATTCGTTTACTAAGAGACTTAAGAAGTAGATTTGAGGGATTAGAGCCATTGACACCATGGATGTTGAACCTTTTAGCCCACAATGCTATTATGAATAATCCAAGTAGGCAGGCTCTACCAATTAATCAGGCTTACAGAAGAGTATTGCAGCTTCTCTCTTCTGGACTTTTCTTGCCAGGATCAGCAGGTAAATTTTTATCGAATCTATAATTTTTTTATATTATAACACCACTAAAAACTTTAACTAATAAAAACAAATGGTTTTCAGGTATTTCTGATCCTTGTGAAGGTGGCAGTATTCGGGTTCACACAGCCATGGGCTTGGAACAGCAGGATTTAGTGTGTTTGACGGCACAAACCTTATTACGAGTATTGGCACACGGAGGATACAGACCACTTCTCGAAGGCGGCAACAAATTGGCAGTAGAGATGAGCGTCTGGTCAGGTGGAGTAGTCGCAAGTCCACTGGAAAAAGCGTATGAACCGCCAACGGAACAAGAGCAACAATGAGAAATGAAAGAGGTCAACGAGGAGATGATCGCTGAAACTACGTAAGTTGTCATGTAGTTGCGACAGCCCCGTGTAAAAACAAAGAAAATTTATAATTTATGATGAAATGAACGTTATTTGTAAGAATTAAAATATAGTTCGACGCATTAATTTATAGTTACATGACAACTTGATAAATCAGCTACTTCAGTCTTATGTAAGTGAATGTTTGCAAGGTATTATTGTACACCTCGCAAGTGGAGGATAATGATTTTTTATTGGAGACTATTTGTAATATGAATAAGCAATTTCTGCTAATTAATTAGAACTCAATAAATTCACAAATTAAAGAGGAGTGACAAATTGTTAAATGTTTTTTAACAGATCTAGTCTCATTGATGGAAAAAAGAAAACACTAAAGTTTAACAAGAAAAATGTTTATTGCACATGTTTTCTTTTAAATCTAAAAGTCTCAGTCAAATAAATATACAATTGACACGTATATGTAGAGTCATTGTGTGAGCAAACAAGCATGATTGCTAATACAAAGCAGCTTATACCGCGCAAGGATCAGTGTCCATCGATCGTACAGCTTTGGCGCAGTTTATTTTGGCGTGCGGCCTATTCACCGGCACCAGGAATATTTTCCCGTCGGGCATGCACACGCATACCTTGTACTGGTCCTGTAGTTCGTTCGACGGAAAATTCACCGAAGCGATTGGAATTTTCGGCAGATTGATGCTCTGCTTGGCATCGATGATGATGTCGCCGTTCTTACTACGCAAGAGAATGTCATTCGAGGCTGCCAACATGATGTCTTTAGAATCCATACTGGTGCCTTCAGCTCCGTGAAGCGAAATCGCTTCGCCGGATGTCACAGTCAGGTCGCTTCTCTTCGGCGCGGCAATTCTGTGCGTCTGCGTTATGTCCACTTCTATCTTTTCAACACCTTGCGGAAGACTGAAGTTGGGAAAGTCAGTGGAGAAGACCGGCGATCCGCTGCGCGGATCTTTGACTTGGAACGAATGCACCTGTGAGACCGAGGTACCATTCTTGAGTATTTGCAAATTGGACCAGGTCATACTGTGCTGCGGACTCGTCACTTGAATGCTAATCCCGGCGTCGTCACCTATCAGCTCGACTGGCTTGTCTCCAAAACCCTCGCATACACCACTGTGCAAGCACACCTGTCACGTGCGCAAAAAGAAAAAAGGCCAGCGTGAGCTTTGCGGCGCGAAATATACGAGTGGCACAACTCACTCTGTCGAGGTCGGTGTTGCCGTAGAATTTAACGAGATTGTCGTCGGGAATCATCTCAATCGACTCCATTCCCTGGCCAACTCGGAGCACGACAAGTATAGTCAAGTTGAGCAAGAGATTGCAGAGGCCAACGAAGCCGAGCGCGATGCTCAGCGTCCAGACGCAGCGATGGCTCTTCTTCTCGTCGTTCGCGCAGCGGTCCTCCTTAGAGGCGTAGCCCTTGTGCCAATTGTCTTGCAGCAGCATCGCCGGAGAGTTCATCTTGCTCCTGCGAATCAAGCCGAGGACTGTACACACGGCGCGTAAGCTCGTTCGTCACCCACCTGGAGTTGCCGTCCTTGCTCTTGGTGGCGATGAGTGGGCCGTCGCTGTTGGAGAGCTCGTCGTCAGCCGCGCCACCAGCACCGCGAGCGGACATGCACGGCGACGGCTCGAGCTCATGAATCGTCATGTCGGCGGCGGTGATTTTTCTCCCTCTACGTTCCGTCGATCTAGGCAGCGAGAGGGAGAGAGCGGTGCCGGCTTCCGATATGGTTGCTGCGTCGAACGAGCTCGCAAGCTCTCGCGCGCGGTGCGCTTGCGCCGCGCCGAAGGGGGAGATAGAGAGAGGCTCGGCGTGATCGATCGCCGCCGCCACCGCACCACCTGCTGAATGGACTCGGACGCTCGTCGGTCGCTTCTAATTCACGATCCTTATCCCCCTCGTCGTGGCGGTTGTGCAGTCAGCCAAGCTCGTCGTGCAGGCGGCGCGTTCTGCAACACACGCGCACACACAGACGCGCGCGCGCGCCGCTGAGGCTCGGAAAGCGCGCTGCTGGACTGGGGGAGGGGAAAGAGAGACGCGTGCAAAAGGCATCTGCATTGCCGGCGAGGGTTGCGCGGCAGGAGAGCAGAGCCACAGCTCGCGCGAGGGTAGGAGCGAGATACAGAGCGGCGAGCAGTTGTCTGCTCAGTAGCGCAGCGCCGTGCCAGCGCGCCAGTTGACTCGTCGTCGTCGTCGTCGTCGTAGTCGCAGTCGCCGTCGCCGCTCAGTGTGGTTATCGAGTTTTTGTCTGTGTGTACTGTGCGTTCCCGGAGAGATAGAACAAGCAGCGGCAGGTGAGAGTTCGCGACTCTCCCTCTCCCTCTCTGCCTCGCGCGCCTGTTCACGAGGTAAGCGTCTCCACTCCTTGCGCCCGCCTAGGTCCCGCGATTTTCCACTGCGTGCGAACGAGCGCTCTCTGCATTTCCGTGAATCCCATTAGCTGCCAGCTACGCAATCTCTCCCGGCCGGAGTAATTGCAAAAATTTCGTCGCGGATCGATACCTGGCGGCAACGTTCGCTTCGACTCGGCGTACGCACGCACACGACCATATTCGCGACGCTATCACGTGCGTACGGGCAAGGTGCAAATTCAAACCACTAAAAATACGTTGAAGGCTGCTCGCTGCTCTTCTTTTAACGCCGCTCGCACGCTCGCTCTCGCCTACGTTAATGCCCTTTGACCGGCCGAGCGAGAGCGAAACGTACAAAGCTGCACATAGTGGCGGCTATCTCTCCCTCTCTCTCTCTCTCTCTCTCTCTCTCTCTCTCTCTCTCTCTCTCTCTCTCTCTCTCTCTCTCTCTCTCTTCGATTACCGGCCTAACACATCGTTCCTTCTTTCCTTTCGTTTGTACGTTCGTTTCTCTGTGCTCTAGTTCCCGCTGGATGGGTTTTTGTTTGTTTTCGCTGACTTCTCGGGCCAAGGAAGCCCGTTTACTGCAACGGGCTACACGTCTGCGCGAAGGGTTACAACCTTTGATCCGCGCAATAAAAGACTCGTCGCTCTGACTTTTACGAGGATCGCGAGGATCGCCCGCCAAAAATTAACCGTTGACCCGTTTTTTTTTACCCCCTTCCCTCCTTCCATCTAGGCGACAAGCGTGGTAGTTTTTGCAAAATACACGACTTTTCGATAACTTGCGGCGTGAAAAGGTAGCTTTTTCTATCGCGTGCTTGTAATAGTAATGTACCTGGCAATTAATTTCGATCCCTGAAATTTTTCAATAACGTGCTGAAAGGAAAAGAGAAAACATATTTTTCCTTCCAAGTTTATGTAGGTTAATCGCTATTATAAATTCAAGCGAGCATCATTTTGCGAGGAAATATTCAATAGCGAGAGAGGATATTATTCTCATTCGTCTCTCGTCGGAGCATTAATTAACTTTGAAATTTCGAGACAAAAATATGCAGGGCTTTTGATTATAAAAGGCTTCTTCGAGCTATAATTACATTTCATTGTTGGAATTTCCAACTGTTCGCTCGCCTCTCGAACGATCTGCCCGAAGGTTCGCGGCCCGAAAATTCCAAAAGCAGTTATAGCGATGAATTATTATCTTGCTGCCCGGCGCGGAGTGGCGGCGTCCACTCAAGGATTCCGCGACGCCAGAAAAACACTAGCCACGCGGTGGCAGCGATAATTGTTGCTCCCTCCTCCCCTCCGAGAGGTGGCGCGCGCGCGCGCGTACATTTACCAAGGCGGCGCGGCGCGAGGCAAAATTGCATCCGCTGGCAATTGTATTTCGCGCGACATAATCTCGGCGGCTAGATCGTGGAGAATCTGGCGCGCAGCGGCCGCACGTGCGACATTGTCGACGAAGCTTACTTCTCTCCCCCCCCCCCCCCCCCCCTGCCGCCCCGAAAACAAGTGCAACAGCGCTGATTATATTCCCGCGTAAACTGCATTATATCCCACTTTTTTTCCTCCTCGCCCTCCGAAGTCGAGAGGTCTTTTGTGCCAGTCTGCTTTTGTAACGCCGGGAATAAAATTCTTTTCACACCGAAGACGTGGAAAAAAGATCAATAGCGGATTTCTGTTTCTCGTGACCCTGCGCCGACGGTGCACAGGCCTAATCAGGCAATTTGCTGTAATTCCACGAGATTAGGATCAAATGGCATTTTTCACGCGGCAAAACCAACAGCGCGGCAACTCGTTGCATTGGCAAGTTTTTTTTCGGTCAAGCATTAAAGACGCAACAGTTATCGACTCTCGCGCTAAACTAAAGCTCAACAGTAGGAATAAAGCATTGAAGAATGGGGCGCATTAGCCGCTACAGCGTTGCCATTATGTACTCGTGCGGCTACAATGGTGCGCCTCTAAAACTCGTCTTTTCCGCCGTGCGCTCACTCTCGCGAAGGCCCTCGAGGCACAAAGTGGTCTCGTTAAAAAAAAAAATGAAAAAAAAAAAAAAAAAAAAAAAAAAAAAGAGGTTGCATAGTGCAGCGGCAACGGCGAAAAGTTTTCCAAGCTCTCTTTCTTTTCAATCTGAAATAGACACACAACTCGGCTCGGCACCGCCAGCAGGCGCGGGGGTGGAATTTTGGTGCACTCGAGAGAGATTAACGATAAGAATGCTCGTGTTGCCAAGGGACATGGAATGCAATTAACGCTGACATTCGGACGGAAGCCACGTCAAATTACAAGTTTTCTCCCTACCATCTTCGTCATACTGATTTATATTAGCCCGCCCCGCTGCCCTTCCCGCCACGTCTCCCGTGAAGCTGCCGCTGATTTTTACGCGTTCGTCTCGCGATCGTTGCATAATCCGCACCGCATTTCCGCGTTCAACGAACTTTTTCCATTTGCATAATTTCTTCTCTCTCTCTCTCTCTCTCTCTCTCTCTCTCTCTCTCTCTCTCTCTCTCTCTCTCTCTCTCTCGCTCTCATTCTTGAGAGTTATTATCCGCGGCGGCTCGCGAGTGTTCGAGAAAAAAAAAATCGCGCGGCACGTACACTCTAAAGGAGAGCACACGCGCGAGCACTTTCATGTTTCTGGCTATGCTCGCGCGCATTGTCCATCGCGGTGCTGTGCGTGTAAGCAGCTGCCGCTCGCAATGGCAAACAATGGAGCGCACGGGTTGCGAGGATGAAAATTGGTCGGCAATCGCGCGCTGGGGCTCTCCTCGATAAATCGATACGGATCAGGCGAATATGAAAAAAAAAAAAAAAACAAACAAAACTGACGTGGCTACGCCTTCGCACCAAATCGGCCGCTCATTTTTATTAGCGGGCCGCACGAGGCCGATTAATTCACGCTCACAAGCCTTTGTCAAGCGCCATTCCGACGAAACTCCATTGCGCGCTTTTTATTATTTCGCTTCGTGTTTTGTTTGCGAACGAGTGTTCCTGCCTCTCTCTCTCTCTCTCTCGGAAATCGTTAGCGCGCGATTGGAAAGTGCTACGTGCGCTCGTTTGTCCTAACGATGATTAATTGTCGTTTCGCTCTTTCGTGCCTTCGTTTCGTCTGAAATTTCTGTGAAAACTATATTACGCCGCGTTGTCGCCGAGAAGTAGACGATTGAACGCACCTGCCCCAATAGGCTAATTCATAACCCACCGCAAAGTTGATATCTCGGTGCTTTGTTGCTGAGCTTGCGACGAAGCATCCTTATCGCATCCAACTGTACTTAGTGTTCCTTCCGCGCTACCACGCGGCGGAGCGCCCCAAGGTTCGTTAAATTATTGTTTGTTGCGTTACGATCACCAGAAGCGGAGGGCGGAACGAGAAGCAAGACGGGTGCGCGACTCGGCGAACTTTTAATCCGCACGTAGATCGACGGCGCGCAGGGCAATTTTTCCCAAGAAAATGGCGAACCGATCGATCGAGATAACATCCCGGGGGCACGCACGTGCGCGCGCGGGAGGAGAGCGCGAGTCATAGGCAAACAAGCAAACAAGCCGCTAACATTTTCTGGCACGTCTCGAGAAAACAAAATCAGATCGATAACACCTGCTCGCCGCCGCCGCCGCGAGAGCTAATTGAATTATGCAGATGAGACGACGAAAGAGGCAACAGCGAGTTGCCTCGTACCGCGATAGCGGTGATGGCACCTAAGCACCTCTCCTGCTCTTATCTCTATTCGGCTTTTTCCGCGGACGATTGGCTACTCCCGCGAGAGAGCTTTAATCTCGTTTGACAAAATTCGTTTGATCGAATTAAGCGTTGACGAATTGAGCTCGCGAAAGAGAGAGAGAGCTTTGGCTGCTGTCAACTCGTGCGTGCGATGCGAAAAGCTCGCAGCGCCGAAAGAACAGCCAGACTGACAGGGTTATTCTCCGGGCGCGCGTAATTTATGTAAAATCTCAGCCCGTCGCGCGGCGCGGAGCTAACAAGCAAACGCAAGATAGCAGTCGAAGAAGAGCGTCAAGACAATGCGAGAAACTGAACAATGCTACCGACGACGTCATCGTCGTCTCTGTCTCTCTCTGACGTCGGTGCAGCTTTCCTAGGCTGAAAAATTAGTTCGCAGCAGCAGCAGCAGCAGCGGCTTTTTCCGCGAGCGCGCGCGTATCAAAAACTTTGAAAAGCACCGCCTGACAAAACTACCTCTCCCTAGGCTTTGTTGCGCTCTCGTAGAGAGTGAGAGAGGGGGCGGGGAATCTCCTATCTGCCCCGGAGCACCGGGCATGTGTTTTACCGGGCGGCTACGGCCGCGCGAGAAATGAGGACGCGTACATGTACCTTGCGGTTTTGTCATTTCGCGAATCGAATTCTCGATTGCCGGTCAATTTTCAGCCGTTAAGATTACCAAGTCAAACGGAAGCTTATCAACCGTGATTAAGTCTGAATCAACAGTCATTTATCGAACTTTTAATTAGCGACTGTTGAGTGGGGGAAGTTGACTTTTCGACCTATATACTACTTGTTGCAATCACTGTACGTCGCAAGCTCCATTGAGAGCTTTCGTGTGTTGAGAAACGAAAGTAAATGCGAAAAAGGCTTTTTCATTTTATTTTCGCGTGCGCTTGCC